TTGCTGATGCTAGCCTTGACCTTGAGATCCTCCTGCCTCAGCATCTAGAGTCACTGGGGTTACAGATGTGCACCACTAGACCCAGCTCTATTTTTAACTTTTTTTTGAGAAAACTAGTAGTGGCTCATTTTTAAATGTTTATTGGGGTGTAGAGTAGAGCTTGGCTGATGCTGTTCCCAAAATAACCCTGACTGACGGGCAAGGTATGTAGCACACACACACTCGGCTTATTTTCTCAAAGCAAAGCTTTATCTTTTATTCAATTTAATTGAGATTAAATCCTCATCCCTCATCTCAGTCCATTCAACTTCTGATCCCATCCCCAGGTAGTGCCAAAGCATCAGGGGAGACTGGGCTGGGGCCGCTGGTCCTGGGGGCTCCCCCAGAGCTCTTTTGATACTCAAAGACCAGGATTCTTGCAACCCAAATACTTTTTCTTTTATTGTGATTGATCTGCTGTGCATTTCAAAAGCATGCATTGAAACTCCAGATGTACCTCCTGTCCTGTGACTGAGTACATAGGACTTCTTCATGGGTCAGGATCAACTGCTTTGGCAGTAAATAAAACAAAGATATTGTGTCCAACTACAACTAAAAAATAAATATAAAGAAAAGAAAAACCATGTGTACAGGGATATTCCAGACCTTTGCCCCCGGGGGTGACAGGCACGGGAAGCTGGAGGTGAAGAGGCACACATACTAACGCTTCAAAATTGCCCCCCACTTCCAAAACCTGAGACCCCCATGTCACGCCTCATCTCCAGACCCTTCCCCAAGAAACATCCCAGTTCTCCCCAGCAGCCCTGGTCCCCCATTTGTTGGTTCCTGGCTGCTTCTCCAATCACATGCACAAGCCTCCCTGTGTCCCTCGAGGATGTTTCCAGAACAGCCCAGCCTTCATCGTGCCTGCGTGCCTCTTCCTGCTGCCGCCCCATTTGGAGCCCTCCTTCCAGTCTAACCAACTTTCCGTTGCTATAATTGATACCACAGGCTGGGTAATTTATAAAGAAAAGAGGTTTATTTAGCCCTTGGTTCTGCAAGTCCAAGATCCAGGGGCCGCATCTGATGAGAACCATCTGTGGAGTCCCAAGGTGGCTCCAGGCTCACAGAATAAAGCGAAGCATCCCTCCTCTGCAGACCCTATTCATTTCTCTCCAGCGCCTTCACCCACCCTTTCACCGTCCTCCTTCCATTCAGAGCCCGAGGGCAGAGACCGCGGTTGGCTTTTCTGGGGGCTCTCCAGTGCCCAGTGCACACAGCAGGTAAATTACCAAAGGACCCAGTGAGTCAGTGCAGGAGGATTGAATGAGGGAGAGAGCTGGGGAAAGGAGCCACGGTCTTCTCAGCAAAGGTCCCCTCTGCAGCCACCACAGAGATGGGTACAGACGGAATTGCTCAGCTGGCAGGCTCCTCTCCGGCCTCACCCTCTGACTCAGCCCCTCCTCAGAGACTAGTTTCCAGGAACTGGCTGACAGCTTGGCTCCTCCACCCCCACTGAATCTAGTGTGGAACCTGTTCTGCCCCAAGAGTCCCCATGTTCCCAGGCTGTGTTCCCAGGCCACTGGGCCACGTAGAGAGAAGGGCCTCACAGGTCAGCAGCGGTGGACACAGGAAGGGCCACTAGAATGGCAGGTCCAGAGGCAGAGCCCAAGAACTGCCCAGCAGTCCCCAAGCAGCGAGCCTCACACCCTCCTGATGTGGATGCCAGGTGTGTCACAGGAGACTGGGGAGTGATGGGGACAGCACAACGACTGTCCTGAGAATCAAAGGAGAAGACTATGTGGGAGCCTGGAGTCCAGGTGACATCTAGTCACTTGGGATGCCATTTGGGGTGTGATATGGAGAAACGGGAGATCCTGCAGTGACTATTGTCACTTGGCTGTCCCCTTCCTTTCTAGCAGGCTGCTCTCTGTACCTCCCAGCACAGATGCTGGCTGGCCATTGTAACTGACTTTCTAGTCCCACAGTGACAAGGGGTACAGTCCCTGGTCCAGTGTCCTGTGAGATGAGGACCCTGGCGCCATGGCCAGTGGTAGAGGTCTCTGCACCAAGCCACGTCTGGGATGTGATTTGGGGCATTGCTCCTGGTCATGTGTGGCCTTTGGGCCTGGTTCTCTGACCCTCCCAAAGACCCTGAGTCACACTAGATAGGCTTCTAATGAATCCTCTTTTTTGTTTAAATTAGAGCTGGTTTCTATTGTTTGGAACCAGAAATCACAGAGGTGTGGCCCCACAAAACTATGGGATTGAAGGTGGCATTATGGAGGGCCCAGGGTCCAGGAGGGAGGATTTGGGATGCTCAAGTTTGCTTTATGTAGCCCAGGGCACAGTAGGGGTCCCGTCCCTGCTCTGGAAGCTAAGTTCTAGAAGGCCTGGTGGTAGAGTGGAGGCTGGGCAGGGAACAATGACCTGGTCATTGTGGGTCTAGAAGTCTCGCAGAGCGAGGGGAGTCTGGCTTGGAGCAGAGGAGGCTGAGGCTCTGCGGGGGGAGGCATGTTCCAGCTAGACCGTTCTGGGGTCACTCTGGAGGCGTGTGGGCGGCGGTCCAGGCCCTAGCCTCAACGAGAGTAATCTGAAGATGGACAGGGTTGCTTTAGGAAGAGAGGACCAGCTTCCTAGGACCAGCAGTGAATGAGCAAGGGGTCCTGAAGGGGGTAAAAACAACCCAGGGGAGAAGGTCCCTCCAACCTGGGCTTCCCTGGGCCAGCCTTGGGCTGTGCACCTGCAGGCTAGAAGGGATCAGCCTGCATCCTGACACCAGATGTGGCAGAGACCTCTTGGCCCCCAACCCACCAGTCAGATCTGAAAAACAGACCAAGGTGGGCTGAGGGTGTAGCTCGGTGACAGAGGGCATGCCTAGCATGCATGAGGTCCTGAGTTCCATCCCTGGCACTGCAAAATTATTTTAGAAAAAAAAGAAATAGCCCAAGGTTGGGGTAATGAGCCAGCCAAGAAGCCAGCCAAGGTGGGTGCAGTGGCACATGCCTGTAATCCCTGCAGCTCAGGAGGCTGAGGAAGGAGGATTGCAAGTTCAAAGCCAGTCTCAGCAATTTAGTGAGGTCCTAAGCAACTTAGAGAGACCCTGTCTCAAAAAAAAATTAAAAGGTCTGGGGATGTGGGTCAGTGGTAAAGTACCCCGGTTCAATCCCAAGTACAAAAAAAAAAAAAAATCCTGTAAGAACCATGACAAATCATGATCACACAAAGATCACAAGATTGATAGAGTGAACTGGCGAGGACATGGGGGATCTGGGGCTATCCTGATCGGGAGTGGCCCTGTCCATGGGAATAACCAATGCAGCAAGACAATTAGCAATCCTATGGAAGTCCTGCATGCATGCAGCTTCTGGGCAGGGAATTTATCATCAGCTGCGCACGTGCAACATGTGACCCAGGCCATTGCCTGGTGACAGCAAATGACTGCAACAGACTGCCAGTCCACTTACTGTGGACCCTGATCTGTGGAGGAGATGATGGTAGGTCCACACAATGACAAAGAGAACAGGATCTTTTCATGGGTAGATCTGTACAGCTCTCCAAGATGGAATAAGTGGATCTGTAAGAGTAAACAGTAAGCTACTATTTGTGTACAAAAGAAAACAACATATGTCCGCAGCTGAATTATAGGCAGAGAGTATCTCCAGAAGGATGTGTAAGAAACAAGGATTCCTTGGGGAAGACGATGTGTGGCTGGGAGAGAAGGGACTTTTCACTGCCAATCTTCAATAACTTCTGAATTTGGTAGAGAGTGTGTGTAGTGTATAAATAACAAAACAGGAAAACAGAAAACCGCCTACACACACACACACACACACCATCTCCCGCATGTTTTTGACAGGTGTGGCTGCCCCTGTCATCTCTTTGCAAGTGATGAAATGGAACCATCCCATAGAAGCTCAGGAAGCCGCCCAGGGCCACCCAGCAAGGAAGTGGCAGAGCTGTTTGGGACTCAGATCTGCAGGTCAGGCTTAGGGCAATGCAGAGGAGGGGTCCCAAGGTGGGGTGTCACAGCTATCCAGGGCTAGGCAACAGCCTTCAGATTGGGGAGGGAACTACAAGATGGGCAATTCCAGAAACTCAGCTCTGGCCCTGGGTGTTTGTGAAGGACCACGTGCCCCAGTGGAAACATCTGCAGTCATCGTATATTGGGAAGACCAAGCCTGGCCCTGCCAGGGGCCACCTGTGTGACCTCCCAACCTCCCGCAAGTAATCTTCCCTCTGCAACCAGAGCACCTCACTAGGTCCCCACTGCAGAAGGTACAGTAGTAGTAAATGAAATGACAAACGAGAAAACCCCCTTCTCCCAAAGCAGATGCTCAAAGACAAAGCAAATGACTGCAACAGATTAAAAACAAACAAACAAAACTTTTGTAGTTATAAATGGACAGAATGCCTTTATTTTATTTATTTTTATGTGGTGCTAAGGGTCAAACCCATTGCCTCCCACGTGCTAGGCAAGCGCTCTGCCACTGAGCCCCAGCCCCAGCCCAGCAATACAGATCTTTAGTCTGGGGGGTCTCAAAAACCTCTGGGCAGCCTGGGCTATCACCCAGGCTGTCACCGCCTCCTGAGTTTCACACACACACACACACACACACACACACACACACACACACGACATTATTTGCTAAGTTCGTCCGGTCGCTCATTCATTAGATTCACACCTATGCAGGGCTTCTGTAAGGGCCCCTTCCTCGCCCGTTCCCCGGCCCGCGTGTCCCCTAGGACAGTCAGACTACTTCCCACTGCGCACTTTGGCACTTGCCAAACGGACCCAGCGTCCAGGGACTCGGACCTTTGCGGTGCCTCCTGTTCCACAGCGGAGCCCGCCAGGGGTCGACTTCTCCGTCCAGGCCACACCCTCCCTCCCAGACAGCCAATGAGTGCAGCTGCTTGATCCGGCCCTGCCCCACCAGGAAACCCCGGCCACTGATTGGTCCGCCCGGCGCAGTGTCCCCCCGCACGTGGGGCGGGGGCGGGGTGAATGAAGTGGAAGCGAATCCCCCGCCCCCGCGCTCCCCTGCCGGCCCGCCGCCCGCCGGCTGCCCCGGACCCTGGCGTCTGGCTTCTACCCGCCAGGTCCCCGCGTCACGGACTCGCGATGGCCAAGCGCAGCTCTCTGTCCATCCGCATCGTGGAGGGGAAGAACCTGCCCGCCAAGGACATGTGAGCGCCGCCAGGGGTGGGCGCCCCAACTTTCCGGGAAGGGGAGCTGTCCCCCTTACGCCTGACCTTTCCGGGGTCCACGCGGCCCGCCCACAAGTGGAAGGGTAGTGAGGGCGTGGCGACTGCTGCCCCCGAGGGGGACCGGCAGTGAAAATGGGGACAGTGAGAAGATTTGTTGCGGGCTTCGGATAGGGGTGGCGATAGGGGGAGAATGCCAGTGAGCACTGGGGGAGTGACGAGGGGGCGGGGATCGCTAAGGGGCTTAGCGTAGCCCTGGGGGAGCGGCTCCCGAGGAAGGGGCTGTGGTAGGACAGAATCCAGTACGGAGGTGACATGTAGGGAGAACTACTCAGGGTGTGGCTGGTAGAGGTGGGGTGCCCCCTAGAAACAGGGATCTTCCTCCCTAATTCCGGAGCCCGTAGTACCCCGAAGTGTGTACCTGACGGGCGCTGGGGCCAGGGGCTGTCCCGGGTCTCGAGGCCAGGACTGGTGCAAGATGAGCAGGGTGTGGGCGCCCGGTGGTAATCGTTGCTTGAGCCCCCTGCTTTGCCTGAGACATGCATTTAATCCCTACAGCCCCCCCCAGCACTCAGGGCTCACCATTCCATTTTATAGATGAGAAAACCGAGATCAGAAGCATGAAATCCTGGCTCCAGGTAGCAGATCAAGGCTTTGCATCTAGGGCTCTTAAGAGCTGCTGACAGGTCCCTGGCCCGATCTGGGGGGCTTTCGGGGGCCCCTTGCATCTTTCTCATTGTGCCCCAAGGCTGAGCTGTGGGACCCCTGGCTCCCCATCTCAGCTCTGCCCGGGGTTTCCTCTGTGCCGCGGAAGGCAGTTCCTTGCTCGGGAAGCCTCCCTTTCCTCTTCTGTCTCAGGACTCTGCGATTGCCCGATCCCCCGGAGGAGAGGTGCAAAGCACAGAGCTGGAGGGGCACTGGCTGCTTGGAAGAAGAGGGAGGGAGGGAAGGGGATCCCAGAGGAGGCCCAGGGTCCAAAGTCTGCTGGGCTGGACCTTTCCTGCCCCTGGGGTTCCTCAGCAGGCTCCCGGATGCAGAGAAGTGGCGAGCCTGCAGCGGGAAGCGGGGAGCGAGGGCATCTCTCTGGCACACACAAACAGTGGCCCGGGTAAGCTTCCCAGCACGCTCAGCGCTGGGAGCGGTTCCAGTTCAAGGCCCCCTGGGCCTGAGGAGGCCGAGCTCAGCAGTTGCCATGGCAATGGGGAGGGAGGGGTGGGCGATTTGAGGTGGGTTTCTGTGAATAGGAGGAGGCTGTCGGGGGCTAGGAATGAGGTCTGTTGGGGTGGAAGGCCGACCAGCTGTGAGATGGGTCTCTAGAAGGGTGTCAGCCCCCAGGCCCCACCTTCAAGCACCCCCCACCCTGGCACTGATAACTAGGTCATCTTGGCTGCTTCTGGTTGGTGGTGGCTGGAAGGAGCAGTCCCTCCGTCTGTCGCCTCCCTCCCAACCCAGCAGCTGGCCCTAGTGCCAAGCTCTGGGTTCTCAGCAGTCCAGAGCCATGAAGCCCTTGGGCTGTGCCCACCTGGCAGGCCAAATTTGGTGTTCCCTGTCCCCTGCACAGCTAGGGACTCTGGGCAAAGGATGTCCACATCCTGTTGGTTCTGCCTCCAGAATCCTTCCTCACCCAGTTCCCCGTCCCTGTCCCTCACCTCTCCTGTCACCCCTCACCATCTCTTCCCTGCCTTCCCCAAGGTGGCTGGTGTACACAGCTCTAACCTGTCAACTTACACCCAGGTCTGAGCCATCTCATAAACTCCACCCCGCGCCTGTGGGCCCCGCCCTTCGAAGCCCTGCCTCTGATGTTGGGGTTTTCTGCTTTCCTGAGTGGCCTTCGGAGCCCTGCAGACAGCTCCTGCTGGTCTTTCAGGTCTCTTCTCAAACTCCTCCCCAGGGCTTTCCCTGGTGCCCCAGGCAAGGTTCATGGCCCAGCCCTTGGTGTGGCAGCCACCCCTTCAGGGGCTGCCTGTCCCCTCCAACTATGAGGGCAGACACTGTGACTCATTCCTCCTGGCACTGTGAGTGGCCGGAGGGACCTGGTCAGTGGGAGAGGAGAGTCAGGGACCTTCCCATAGGCCTTCATGAACCCCGTGAGCTACATTTCCAGAATTGGCTGATGAGGAAGCTGAGGTTCAGGTCCCACAGCAGAGAAGTGAGCCACTCTGTCCACTGCTGACTGGCCAAGCACCCTCTCCCGACCAAGGTTGCAGGGGTTTTGGGGCCTGAGCCTCAAGATCCCAGGCAGCGCATTGGCTACAGGGCTCCCAGGGGCTTGGAGATCCTGGGAGGCCTCTGTGAGCACTTGAGGCAGCAGGTGGCCTGCAGTGTCTCACCAGCCCTGGGCCTATCTCCTGAGCCGCATCCCGGCCAGCCAGGGTTGCATACCTCTGAGGATGGGGAGCTCACCACCTCCCTGGTGGCCATCTTGGCTATGGCCTGTATGAGAGGGACCCCCTCCTTGCACAGCTGCCCCTTCCTCCTGCCACTGCCTTTCCTGAGTTTCTACCTCACAGGCCCAGAACACAGCTGCCTCCACCACCAGCAGCTTTCAGAACCTGTCTGCTCTGAAAAAGCCATGCCCCCCGCTGGCTCCCATCCCCGGTACCTAGGTCAGTGGGCAGGAGCTGGGTCCCACAGTGACCAGTGACCCACTGGTTCCCACACCCAGTGGCCCTGGGGACAGGCCCAGGGCTATTTTGGGGTTTGCCCTCTCTTTCCTCTTCCCCAGCCTAGAAACTGCCAAGGCCCTAAATATAGAGGCCCACAAGGAGCCAGACGGGGCCAGTGGACATGGGCTGGGGCAAGGAGAAGTGGGAGAGGGTACAGCCCAGGGGTCTCACTAAGTTGGAGGACGTGGGCAGGATTCACCAAGAATTCATCAGGCAATGCAGTTGGGCCCAGGTCCTTACACCTGGCCTCAGCCTACTCTTGACACTGTCCCCTCCCACCCCTCTGGTCCAGTTGTTGAGTCAGCACTGTCCTGTGCATGTTCTGCCCCTGCCCCCAAGCCTGTGCCCACTCCAGCCACCCTGCCTGCCAGCCTCAGCGTTCTCCCTGCATCCATTCAGAGTGGGAGCTGAGTGGAGCAAGTGGTCCCCTGCCCTGAGGGGCCTTGAGGTCAGCAGGCAGTAGCAGGACAGAGGGGACACTATCCCATGCGACACAGCCCAAAGAGGTCCCCTTAGGCTTCAGCCTGAACTGACCTCCGCCTGCTGCTTCTGAGTGTGGTTCTGGGGCCTGCAGCCCAGCCCAGCCCAGGGGCACGCGGGGGCCTGGCTGAGGCCTGGAGCTGCCCAGCTTTGGGCTGGCAAGATGCAAGCTGGGGTCACACACCCAGGAGGGGCTGTTGGGTGAAGGCGTAGGGGAGGTCACTGTGCTGGGTTGGCAGTTCATTCTTTACAAATCAGGCTTGGTGGATATTTCCTAGGTCATGAGGGCCTTTGGAGCTGCTGCCCCGGGGAGTCCTCTGCCGGAAGAACTCCTTTAGAGAACTGGCGAGTGGCAGCGGGATTTTATATAAATGTACTTCCTTTTTGTGGAGGCCAGGCTGAGGGACAGTTCTAGACAGTGGGCACCTTCCTCCTTTTTGCCCAGTAAGCACCCTGGGCTGGCTGGAGGCCCCTCTCAACCCTACAAACCCCCCACCCATCTGAGACTGGGGGACCCAAATAGGGCTGGGGAACCGTTCCCTTATTCCTTCCCTCCTTTATTCATTCAGTCAGTGAACCCCTGGGGAGGCCCTGTCTTGTGCCAAGCCCTGTCCTGGGCCCTGTGACACAGAAGTAGTCCCCATCCTCAGGTAGCTCTGGCATGTGGGGGAGGCCGGAAGGCCTCACTCCCAGGGCTGGGAGGAGACAGTGGAGGTGGTGGCAGAACTCGGGGGGAGCCCTTGCTGTCTCTGAGGCTGAGGAGGGGCCTGGGGACAGTCCCAGCAGCAGGGTCAGTAGCAGCAAAGGCTCAGAGGGGAGAGTAAGGGGCAAGACTTTCATGTTGAGTGCTGGGATGCTGGCATGGGCGGGCTGTTGCCTGGACACTGTGTGGGGCGAGGTGGAGGTGGGTAGGAAGGAGCCTCCCGGGGCCCTGCCTTCCCCCACCACCTCTCCCAGGCGAGGGTGGGCGCATGTTCTGGCCTGAGGAGCCTTTAGTCTCCAGCCCAGGTGCCACGCCTCTGCCTTCACTGGCACTGTCTTCCTCAGGGGTCCCCCAGGGTCGCTGGCAGAGGGAAGGGCTGCCCAGGAGGTCCCGCCCACCAGCTCTGCCCCTTGTCCGTCTTTCCTACAGCAATGGCAGCAGCGACCCCTATTGCATCGTCAAGGTGGACAATGAGCCCATCATCAGGTACAACCCTGCCCAGATCCTGAGGGCCCCTGAGCTCCCTCTTCAGCCACCTGCTCCTCCCAGAAAGGTCCAGCTCTGGAGTCCCCAACCCGCCTGTGTCCTGACACATCAGCTGGAAGTTGAGAAGAGCCACCTGTGGGCTGGGGGGTGTGGCACATGGTAAAGCGCTTGCTCAGGATGTGTGGAGCCCTGGGTTTCATCCCCAGGGCCACAAAGAGAAGAGAGACACAAAAGAAAAAGAAAAAGACAAGACTCGAAGACTCCCCTGTAGCTGGCCTGGCTGATGCCTGACCCTCGTGCTGGTCTCTGTGGCCCTCTGGGTGCCCTACCCAGGGCCTGGACCGCCTGTTGTTCTTTGCAGTCTTCACAGCCCCCAAGAGAGGGATCACGATGCAGAGTCACAGTGCTGTCACTTAGAGTGCACTTCTCCCCCTGGCCTGGAGCCAAGCCTTTGCTAGCTCTCAGTGCATCACAGTCATTAGGCCCCACCCAGATAAGGCCACTGAGGCTCAGGCTGGGTGACTCTCCCGAGGTCACACCCCTCAGTACCTACGTGGCACAGCCTGACAAGGTCTCAAGTCTGGAAGACTGGAGCTGAGCCCTCCCCTCCCCCCTGCCCCATCCTCGCTCTGACTTTGGGCCCTTCCTTCCTGTGATTGTCCCCCAGTGAGGCCTGCCTCCCTCTGGGCCCAGAAGGACCGGGTCTCCTCAATGTCCTGCCTGTCTGCTGGGTCTTTGCCGTCCATCCCCTCCTTCACCCAGGCTCCTGCCTCTAAGTTTGTGGCCAGAGCGGCTTCCCTATTCTGCACACTGGAGTGGCCACTGCTGACCCCAGCCAAGGCCACCAACTCACAGCTCCTCCCCACCTGCAAGTAGTGGCCCAGCCTTTCTCCAGGCCATGGATGGAAAGCAGGGACAGGGGCGTGGCAGTTCTGATGGTCTCAGCAGAGACAGGAAAACCAAGGCCCCAGAGTCCACAGGGTTTGAGAAGTGGTCAGCCTGGGAGGGGGTGACCCCAGCCTCCATCCAGGCCTCTCAGTCATATGCCCTGCTGAGTCCCAGGAGCTGAAGGCGCTGATCTTAGAGGTTCGGCCAGAGCTGGGTGAGGCTGGAGGCTAGGTTTTTAGCCCCCACCACACTTTTTTTTATTTTGGCCCTGGGAATTGAACCCAGGGCCACTTTACTGAGTCACATCCCCAGCCCTCATTGGTTTTTGTTTTGAGACAGGGTCTCACTAAGTTACTTAGAGCCTTGCTAAGTTGCTGAGGCTGGCCTTAAACTTGCAATCCTCCTGCCTCAGCCTCCTGAGTCACTGGGATCATAGTGTGCACCACAGTGCCTGGCCAGGCTTCCTGCTATGTGACTTGAGGCCGTCTGCTCCCAGCTGTGGGACTAGTCCCATACATAAATGTCCTGGGTCCCATCCAGGACAGAGAGGAAGGTCAGGGAGTACAGACTGGTGGTGGACAGTGGGAGCTGAGAGGTGGACACGTCCAACACAGCCTGTGTTACCTGGGGTGGGAGAATTTGTGAAGAGGGTGGCCTTGCCCTTGCCCCGAGCGGGAGGTGGCCTGGGAAGTGCTGAGGGTCCTCTCCTGCAGGACAGCCACTGTGTGGAAGACCCTGTGCCCCTTCTGGGGTGAGGAGTATCAAGTGCACTTGCCGCCCACCTTCCACGCCGTGGCCTTCTACGTCCTGGACGAGGACGCACTCAGGTGGGTGTGTCTGGCTCTGAAGCTGGGCTGGCAGGTGGCCACTGTGGGCCTGAGAGGAGGCAGGGCCTGTGCATGTGCGTGTGTGCAGGTGAGCACAGTGAGCAGTGGGTGTGACGGTGGAACGGGCCTGGGCCACGGGTAGGCACCTCCGTGGGTGTACTTGGTGTCCACGGGCAGGGGCATCATGTGCCCGGGAGAATGCCCGGGATCCAGGTCAGGTCCAGCTCCACTGGCCCAAGCTCACTACTCCCCCAGGGCCCTGAAATTGTGGGGTGGGGTTCTGGGCCCCCAGGGAGTAGGTACCACGGCCCTGCCTGGCTTTGACTCCATCTCCCCCTGTAGCCGGGACGACGTCATCGGCAAGGTCTGCCTCACAAGGGACACCCTGGCCTCCCTCCCGAAGGGTAAGATCCAGAGAGGGAGTCCCGCTGGCTCCTGCCTCCCCGTCCCCCAACCCTGCCTCCACTGGTTTGCCCAGCCCTGGCCTCCTGCCCACTGCGAGGTTTCCCTGGGGGCTCCCACACGTCCCCAGCTCAGGGAGAGTCATTGTCATCCTTCTCTGAAGCCTGGGCTTCTGGCCATCCTTTGCACCCCTGGCTCTATGTCCTGGGCCCCAGGTTGGGACAGAACCTCCCCTAGGGCAAAGAGGGGCTGCCAGTGGTGGGACCGGAGGCCTGTGCAGGCAGAGGAAGGGACTCCTGATACTCTGCTGCCGAGGTGAACAGAGCCTTCCTCGGTTGAGCCAGCTTCTCCCGTCATGGGGTCCCCTCCGTCTGCAGTCTGCCCCAAGCCTGGGGAGGTTGGCCTTCAGCTGATCCAGGCTGGAGAACCCCTTGGATTATTCTGGGATGCAGACCTTGTTTCCAGGTGTCAGCCCTGCCCCAGCCTTGCTGTGTGACCGTGGGCAGGTCTTGCCTTCTCTGGGCTTATGTGAGGATTCAAACTAGGAGGAGTTCCTGGGTGTCTGAGTCCCTGTGACCCCCTTGCTGGCTTCCCCATACACACCTGCTCCTGTCTGTGAGCCTGGGGCGGGCAGGCCTGTGGGGGCAGCCGGCTCTGCTGACTCATGGAGCCTTGTGACCTGCCAGGCCAGAGGCTGCCTCTGCTGCAGCCCCAGCAGCCCCTCTGGGGTCCACGTGCCCAGTGATGCTGTTCTTGGGGACCCTTGTCACTTCTCTGCCTGTGCTTCAGATCCCCCCAGCAGCCCTAGAGGAGCTTCTGCCTCCTATTTTAAGGTGGGGAAAGTGAGGACCGAAAGGCAGCCCCTGACCAGTCAGGGCCAGGACCCCCCAGTGCTGATGGCAGCAGAGTGAGTCCGCAGGCCCCAGGTCGCCCACCGAGGTTCCCATCCTAGCTGCTGCTGTTCAGTGTGTGGGCCTCAGTTTCTCCAGCTGTCCTGGGACAGCTGTGTCCCTCACAGGTGTCTGAGAGGTTCCCAGGGGACCCTGGAGGCTGAGGTGAGGGTGGAGGGACGGGCCAGACCCCTGGCTGAGCCTCAGCCCCTCAGGTTTCACCGGGTGGGCCCACCTGACCGAGGTCGACCCTGACGAGGAGGTGCAGGGCGAGATCCATCTGCGGCTGGAGGTGGTGCCCGGGACCCCGGCCCGTCGGCTGCGCTGCTCTGTGCTGGAGGCCAGGTGAGGTGTGGGGAAGGGGGACAGGGCCTGGGACACTGGGCCCACTGTGGAGGGCGGGCCGCCTCCCCTGCTCCATGCCTGGGTCCCAAGGCCGCCTCCCGCCAGAGCTTGCTGTTAAGAGGCTCTGGGGCTGCTTTCCTGACTCAAAGATGTCACCTGGGTGACCTCCACCCCGGGGCGTGGCCCTTCAGGGAAGGGATAGTGTTCTGACAGGGAGCTCCGGGCACCCTGGAGCAGGGATGGGGGTGCCGGGGACGATGCTCCAGCGCTGAGGCTGGGCTGCCCCTGGTTGACCCCAGCGTGAACTTGGCCTGGTCAGTGTGCAGGTGCAGGTCCTGGGTCCTGCAGGAGGGAGTTGCTGAGGATCTCCACATGGGGTGTGTGTGCTGGGGTAGGGACGCTCGTCTCCAGGAGGGACAGTGGCTTGGATGGCTGTGGGCCTGAGTCACCTGTGGCAGGGCCACCCCCCCCCGCCCCCACGGTATTTTTAGCTGCAGGCCCCACTCCTGTCTGGGGCCGGTGTGAGTCACACATGGTCCTTGAGTAGCGGCTTCCCCTCTGGCTCCAAACCCTCTCCTTGGAGTCCCCCTGTCCCTGGGCCAGTGGGCAGCTTAGCTAGCATCCTGAATGAGGGTCCCCCACCCCAGGAAAATGTCTCTTCTGCAGGGAGGGGGGTTGGGTGACAGACACCTCAGGCATCCTGTGGTTTCCCCTGCATTATTTTTGGCCCCAGGGCTGGGGCAGTGGACATGGCGGACTCGGGCAGAGCCACCCCCATGCTCTCCCATTCCCTCCCCACCCGCCGGCCCCTGCCCACCCACTTCCTCCATTCCCAGCCTTGCCTGGCACCAGATTGTCTGGGGCACTGGTGCCCACATGTGTGTGCACGCACACGCCGCGAGCCCTGGAATCCCAGGCTGCTGTCCCTGGCTCCAGTCCCTATCCCTGGGAATGGGAATCACAAAGCCCTTCTCCCCGGCCCACCCTCTCTCCAAAACCACCTCTCTCAGCCCTCTCCTCTCGGAGATTGTGGGGGACCCAGTGGCTGGCTCCGTGTCGCTGCTTCCTAGCAAGTCCTGGTAGGGGGAGTGGTGGTCCCAGCCCCTTTGAGAGCCAGGGGCGGGGGACCTGTTCCCTGCTATCCTCAGTGAGTCTCATGGAGTCCCGAGGCAGCAGCGTGAGAAGGCTGGTTTGCAGCTCAGGGAAACAGAACATTTTCTCCTTGCTCTGGGCAGAATCTCAAGGCCAAACCTCGGGGTTCTACTAGAGCTGTGTTTTCCATTTTTGCAGTTCTGGAGATGGAGCTTGGGGCCTCTAGCAGGCTGGGCAAGCGCTGTACCCTGAGCTGCACGCACCCCAGCCCCTTAGGCTTTTTTTTTTTTTTTTTTAGAGACAGGGTCCTACTAAGTTGCTCAGGGCCTAAAATTAACCTCGCTAAGTTGCTGAGGTTGACTTTGAACTTGAGATCCTTCTGCTTCAGCCTCCCAAGCCTTTGGGATTACAGGTGTGCACCACCGTCCCCAGCTCCTTAGACAGTTTTAAGAGGCTTCAAACTAAAACATACAGCAGATAGAAGAAGGGTGGACTCTGTTCTTCCACTAGGGGCGCCAGGGCCAGATTTGGGCTTTGTAAAGATCCGTCTATGGAGAGAGGAAAGGGTGATTGACGGGGCCTGCACCTCGCCCACCTCAAGCAGGGGGCCGTCGTCAGGCCTCAGTGGGGCAGGTCTCATCCTCTCCGTTTTACTAATGAGGAAACAGGCTCAGACGGGGCCCCTGCCCAGGACTGCCCAGGGAACAGTGGGTGGGGCCTGACCTGGCTTCACTCCCCCCACCCCACCCCAGAGTCAGGTGCAGCAGCTGGCTTGTGGCCGCCCAGTCAGAGGGAGCCGTGGCCTCCACCATGGGACATTTTTGGCCATGTGGGGAACAGGGGGTGACCGCTGTGGCAAGAGGAGCTCAGAAAGGGGACAGGTGCTGTCCACAGCCGGCTTGCCAGGGACAGGATGAGCCCAAGCCTTTCCAGCCTGGTGTGTTTACCTCGAGGCGATGACAAGCTGGGGCAGCAGACCCAGGTGACAGGTGGGTGATCCACTGTCCCTATCCCACCATCAGGGACCTAGCCCCAAAGGACCGGAATGGCGCATCTGACCCTTTTGTCCGAGTGCACTACAACGGCCGGACACAGGAGACCTCGGTGAGGAGGCTGGTGGGCTGGGGAGGGCCGGGGAGGCCCAGGGACTCTTCCCCCACCAGCCCTGCCCTCACCACCCGCCCCCTCTCCACCATCTGAGAAGCCAGGTTGGAACTGGAGTTTCCAGATGAGGCTCAGGGACGTGGGGCATCCCCTCTGAGGCGACAGAACAGGTCCCAGCCCTTCTGTTGCCAGCTCCTTTCATGCCTGGCCATGCTGGAGAGGGCAGAGAGTCAGTCAAGACAGCACAGTGAGGGTGCTCTTAGAAGTGCCACAGCTTCCCATCCTCCTTTTGTCACCTCCAGGAGATGGTAGGGTAGTGGGCACAGACCTGGGGGAGGGTGATACAGGTTCTCAGTGCCATTTCTGTTTTGCTGTGTGGCCTTGGACAATTCTGTTTGCTACTCTGGGCCTCTATTTCCCCATCTGTGAAATGGGTGGTCTTGGACAGGAAGGTTGTTTTTTGTTTAATTTTTTTTAGTTGTTGATGGATCTTTTGTTTATTTATATGCGGTGCTAAGAATTGAACCCAGCGCCTCATGCCTGCTAGGCAAGCACTCTACCACTGAGCCACAATCCCAGCCCAGAAGGTTGCTTTTTGTTGTTGTTTTTGTACTGGGAATTAACCCTGGGGGTACTTTACCACTGAGCCATGTTCTCTTTTTATTTATTTCTTTATTTTGAGGTAGGGTTTCACTAAGTTGCTGAGGCTAGTCTCAAACTTGTGATCCTCCTGCCTCAGCCTCCTGAGTCACTGGGATTACAGGTGTCTCACCACTGTGCTTGGCTTTGGACAGGAAGTTTTCACCTCTGCTACTACAGAGCCAGGGACAGTGTCCAGGGCAACTCTGCCCTTGGCTGGGCCTCGGAAGCCCTGTCGAGGGAGCCCCACCCCTGCCCCTTTCTGAACAGGTTGTGAAGAAATCCTGCTACCCTAGATGGAACGAGACATTTGAATTTGAGCTGGAGGAGGGGGCTGCGGAGGCTCTGTGCATTGAGGCCTGGGACTGGGACCTCGTCAGCCGAAATGACTTCCTGGGCAAGGTAACACCCCTCCATTCCCCACGCAAGCACGCGCACACACACCCCAGGCAGCACCCGGCGCCCATTCCCACCATCCCACCCTCAGGGACCTGCCTCAGTTTCTCCAGAGAGGAGCGCCCAGGAAGCCCAGGACCAGCAGCTCCCCCACCCACTGCGGCTGGTGCTCAGGCGCCCTTGGAAGGTGCCCTTCCCCCAAGAGAACAGTACCTGGGAGGGAGGGGCCTGAGTGTCCCAGCCCCCGCCTGTCCTGCCCCCAGGTGGTGGTCAACATGCAGAGGCTGTATGCTGCCCAGCAAGAGGAAGGCTGGTTCCGGCTGCAGCCCGACCAGTCTAAGAGCCAGCGAGGCGGGTGAGTGCCCTGGGGCGGGTCTGAGATTTGAGGGCTGGCTGCTGGCCACCAGGCAGGAGAAGGGCAGGGGGCTCAGCCAAGGCTTCCTTCAGTCCTTGCCAGCCAGCAGGACCCACCGCCTGTCCTGTCCCACCGTCCTGCAACAAGCTCAGGGTTACACAGCCGTCCTGCCTCTGGCAGTTTCTAGAACAAGCCCTCAGACGCTTTCCTTTTAAGGGCTTCTCTGCAGGCCTCAGACCAGGGTGCAAGTCCTAGAGTCAGTCTCTCAGAGCCATAAGCCTTAAGCCCCTCCCCAAGCTTCTCCAGGGACAGGGTGCCAGAGAGAAGACAGGACACCCCGGCAAACTGAATTCCAGATGATGCAGGAATGACCATGGGGTATTCCAAACTTAACTGTCTTGTGTTGCTATTTTGTTAAATCTGGCGTCCCTGCCCAGGAAGTCCTTTGGCCTACTTGCACCCCTTGGCTGGTTCTGCCTTGTCACCCTGCAGAAGTTCCCCCATGCCCCCCTCCATGCATACCCTTAACAGGAAGGAGCAGGTGGCCGGGTGTGTGTCCAGCCCAAAGCATTTCCAAAGAACGGGCCCAGGGTCTCCTCTGACAGCTTCTGCCAGGTGCGGGGTGTATTCTGGCCAGCGCAGCCTACTGACCTCCCGGGCTGTGTGTGGGGGGACATGGAGAAGGTTAAGCCTCGTTGGGTGCCCTCACCAGGAGGGTCGGAGCAAAGATGCTTAGAGGTCAGATTTCCTGTGCCAACTTGCTTAAGCTGCCTGAGCCTCAGTTTCCCTGGCAGGTTGTCGTGGGGCCTGGGGATTTGCTTCTGGGATAAGGAGTGTGTGGGTGTGTGTGTGTGTGTGTGTGTGTGTAAGAGAGAGAGAGAGAGAGAGAGAGAGAGAGAGAGAGAGAAGGTGCTGTTCTGGGAGTTTCTTGTGATCCTGGGGATGGAACGCAGGGTCTTGTGCATGCTGGGCAAGTGCTCTGCCATTGAGCTGCCCCCAGCCCCACCGAGGAGTTTACATATTCGAGGTTGAGGAGGCTGGTGTGCCCACTTGAGCCAAGCCTGGGGGCTGCAGGAGTCTGAGGCAGCAGGGTGCTAGCCTTGAGGAAGGATGGAGTCCCTGAGAACTGAGGCAGGAGGGGCTTTGGGGAGAGAAGGGCAGACAGAGCCAGGGGCAGGGCAACTGCAGGGCAGGGCAGAGAGACTGTGAGGTTGTCCTGAGGAGGCAAGTCCCCAGGTGGGGCTGGGGGGGGTGCCCGGGGGGGGGCTGCTGCCCAGGGTGGCCTGCCTCCCTGGTGGAGAGGTCACAGGCCACCCATTCCAGGGGCAGCCTGGGCTCCTTGCAGCTGGAGGTGCGGCTGCGGGACGAGGTGGTGCTGCCCTCGCGCTGCTACCAGCCCCTGGTGCAGCTGCTGTGCCGGGAGGTGAAGCTGGGCACCCAGGTGAGGGGGCCCTGGGGGAAGGTGGGCGGGCCCAGGGCCAGTGGACCTGCCCTGCCTGTCCTAAACCCATCCTGCAGAGCAGCAGCATGGGGCTGGCCAGTGTCCAGGGCCCAGCCACCCTTGCCATGATGCTCTGAGGTCCTCGAGTGGAGGGTTTGGGCTCCCTGGGGGTCTCCCAGCCCTTCCTCCCCTGCTGCCTGCTGCAGGGCCCAGGACAGTTGATCACCATCATCGAGGAGACAACGAGCACAGACCGTCGCCAGGAGGTGGCCACCAACCTGCTCAAGCTCTTCCTGGGGCAGGGGCTGGCCAAGGACTTTCTGGACCTGCTCTTCCAGCTGGAGCTGGGGCGAACCAGTGAGGCCCGGGAGGAGCTGACACTGGACAGGGGAGGGGCTCCTTCTTAGCAGGCTGATGGGTCCAGTGGAGAGGGCGAGAGCAGAGGTGGCACAGGGTGGGAGGTGGCCAGGAGCCACCAGGTCCTCTGTTCTCCTGCTCCCCCCAAGCCTTGTTCCAGCCCTCTGCCCATTGGGACCTCTGCTTGTAGGTGAGGCCAACACGCTGTTCCGAAGCAACTCTCTGGCCTCAAAGTCCATGGAATCTTTTCTGAAGGTGAGGCTACCTGGTATACCATCCTCATCTTGTGGGTGACATGACACAAAGGTTCAGAAAGGCCAGTTTTATCTCTGTGCCCTCAAAAGCATAAGAGTTCCATTCACTCATTTATGAGAAGCAGTGTGTTGAGTCACCTGGTTGTGCACCTGGCCCCATCCTGGGTGGATACTGTGGGCAAATGGTGCACGGAGTGGCTGGGGAGATAGTGGGCAGCTGGACCCGGGAGTCTTGACCAGTGCGGCTCGTGGTGGCCCCCAGGTGGCAGGGATGCGGTATCTGCACGGCGTCCTGGGCCCCATCATTGACAGAGTGTTTGAAGAGAAGAAGTACGTGGAGCTCGACCCCAGCAAAGTGGAAGTTAAGGATGTAGGGTGAGGCTGGTGGGAATACCTGGGGGCGCAGCGGTGGGGAATCTGCCTTTCTGCAAGTGTGTGTTTACGGCTCTTTCTGCCTGGGCCTACGGGATGCTGCTCTGCCCATCTGTGTGTTCTCTGTCCGTGTGCGGGCGCTGACCGCGGCGGTCTTGTCCACCTGCCCCGGCCCTCGCAGGTGCTCAGGGCTGCACCGCCCGCAGACGGAGGCCGAGGTGCTGGAGCAGAGCGCACAGACGCTGCGCGCCCACCTAGGGGCGCTGCTGAGCGCGCTCTGCCGCTCCGTTCGCGCCTGTCCAGCGGTGATCCGCGCCACCTTCCGCCAGCTCTTCCGGCGCGTGCGCGAGCGCTTTCCCAGCGCCCAGTACGAGGTGCGCCCCCTGCCGGCAGGACTGGGTCAGAGCTGACGGGGCGGGGAAGAAACCGGTGCGGAGGCGGAGCAGGGGTGGGGCCGAAGGCGGGGCGGGGCCAAAGGGAGCGGACTGTCCGGAGCCCGGGCAGGGGGAATCCAGCCCCCACTCTCCAAACCTCTCCAGAACGTGCCGTTCATCGCAGTCACCAGCTTCCTGTGCCTGCGCTTCTTCTCTCCTGCCATCATGTCGCCCAAGCTCTTTCACCTGCGGGAGCGGCACGCGGACGCCCGCACCAGCCGCACGCTGCTCCTGCTGGCCAAGGTGCGGGCCTGTGGACAGAGGCGGGATGGCTGGTTGAATACAGCATAGGGGCACTGGCCTGGACCACAGTGCGTCCCCCACTGGCCCTGATACATTCATGGAACTGGGCTTTACAAGGCTTTCTCGTGGTCACCCCCACTGAGCCCCATATCACAGATAAGGGAATGACTTGCTGAGGGACAGAGGAAACCCGAGGCCTGTCAGGTGAATCAGGCCTTTCAACCCAGTCTACTTACCCCCAGGCTGCACCTGTCTGTCCACCAAGTGCAGCAGTCTGATATTAAGCCTGAAGGCCAATAGGTTGGGCTCCATGGTCTTAATTATCAGGTTCCAAACCATGATCCATTCACCCCTGATCCCCTGTAGGGCGAGGGTGGGCCCATGGGCAGGGTTTCTGCTGTTTCTGCCTCTACAGCCTGACCTGGGTGGGGAACAGTGGTCAGGTCCCTGCCCCGCGAAGCCTGGTCCTTCCTGCTGTCACCCCCCAGGCGGTCCAGAACGTGGGCAACATGGACTCGCCAGTTTCCAGGGCCAAAGAAGCTTGGATGGAGCCGCTACAGCCCACCGTGCGCCAGGGTGTGGCGCAGCTGAAGGACTTTATCACCAAGCTTGTGGACATAGAGGAGAAGGAGGGTGAGTCCTGCTCTGCGTGCGGCCTCCGCTCTCTGTGCCCCGCCAGAGCCTCCAGGCCAGTGGCTCCACCCACGGTTGCCTGTGCCTCGCGGCCCCACCTACCGCTTTCGTTTGCTCCGCCCCGGGACCAAGGCCCCGCCCATGGTGGCTGGTATCTCTCGTAGCACCGCCTGCTGCTGTTCTGCCCCCGCCCCGCCCCGCCCGTGGCCCCGCCCACAGCCTCGTGTTCATGTTTGCTCCGCCCTACTCCCCGGCTGCAGAGCTGGACCTGCAGCGAACCCTGAGCTTGCAGGCACCGCCTGTGAAGGAGGGGACGCTCTTCATCCACAGGACCAAGGGCAAGGGCCCCCTCACGTCCTCCTCCTTCAAGAAACTCCACTTCTCCCTCACCACCGAAGCCCTCAGCTTCGCCAAGACGCCCAGCTCCAAGGTGGGTAAGGAGGGAGGCTGGCGAGGAATTAGAAGACAAGAGGCACCTGTGCCCGTCCCTGGCCCACCCCAGGGACCACCTGCCCTGGAGAAGGAAGCCAGGCTAGCTGGGCATCTGGTGTCTGGGCTTCAGGTAGTCAAGGCGGAGGAGGATGGAGGCTTCTGCCCCCAGGCACGAGGCAGCGGCAGCGGCTGCGGGTTCAGCCCTGGCTGCCGGGTCAGGTGCACTGGGTTGGGTTGGGGGGCTCCAGGGGTGTTTCTGGGAAAGCAGAGAGGAACTAAAGGTTCTGAGAGGAGCCGGGGGAGGCTTGAAGTTCTGGCATCCAGCCCTGCTTAGCCTGTGTACATAGGAGAAGTGTCACCTCTCTGATTCTTGGTGTCTCAGCCTGTAAATTTGGGATAATCGTGCCTACTTGCCAGCTTGCTGAGATTTAAGGAGACAGTGTTTCCAAGGGTCCTAACCTCCTCCCAAGAAGGGCTGAGAGCATGCTTTTCTAATGGATTTGTTGACCCCTTGATGGCTCACCTAACCCCAGCGGGGGTGCCATACCCAGCCCTGAGCAGGTGGGTGTGCCTGGGGCAGGTGAAGGAAATGATCACCTGCTGCTCTCAAGGAATTGACTGGGGGGCCCAGCATCTCTCCTACCAAAGACCCCCAGATTACCATAATGATTCTTGACTTCCAGAATTGAAAGATCCTGCCTTGTAGGCATTATTTCGTTCTGGTCCCCATTTGTGTCAATTATCAGCCTTTGACAGTTAGGTGGCTCGATGAGACATTTGAGGCCACAGGAGGTGTCATTTCTGCCCTGCATAGGGCTTCCCCTTGACTGCCTCCTGGGGAAGCCACCTCTCCCTGAGGGATCAGCAGTAGTGAGGAGCCCTCACGGCCCTCATGGTGACCGCTCTGGGAGGTGCTCGCTGTGGTCAGCCCTGTCATCCCACACCTCCCTAGTCTTCCTCTCCAACCCGGCCAGATTGCCGGTGTTACTCCCAGTTACCGAAACCTGGGTTCAGAAGCACAGAGGGACTTGTTTGAAGCCACATGATCAGGTGTGGCATACGTCTGTCTCCCTGCACCCTTGTCCTCCCCACGATGCTGCTGACTGCATGGTCACCAGTGGTACAGATGCTCTGGAGTTCTGGGGACGTGTTTGAAGCAGGAGCAAGCCAGATTCCACATGGTGGCTGGGCTTACAAAGACTGCTAGAGAGGAAGGCTGGGACAATCAGGAACAGCTCCCTGGAAGAGGCAGGGGTGTAGAATTGCCACATCTCAGTTCTGGGAGGGATCTCGAAGAGTGTCTCATCCAACCCCGTGTGGGTCACGGGTCACCCCACCAGCATACCCAAAAGACTTTGGCACCCGAGATGATGACAGGGAGCTCACTGTAGTAAATGTAGCCTTCTCTGTCTTGGCAGCTGTTGGAAAGTTGCTTACCTTGAGCTGAAGTCTGCTTTCTTCTCTGGTCTTGGCTCGACGACTCTGCCTTAATGTAGCAGAGAGTGTAAACCAAAGTGTGGTCTCTGGAATCCCAGCACCCCTGAGCTTTCTTCCCATTTTCCATATCTTGCATACTTCATTGCCAAGTTCCCTCTTGGACTGTGGCATTTGGAACTGTGCACACAGTTGTTAACTGAATACTGAAGAGCAGACTGGATAATCCCCTCCCTGATTCTGGTTCTCATACCTCTACTAGTATTGCTTTGGCTCTTTTGTTATTTTTATGTCTCACAATAGACTCAAACTCAACCTTCTGAGACTCGGGTAATTTTTTTTTTCAGGAAAGAAAAACTGAAGAGCGGGGCTTAATATTTTTTCCTTCATAAGCTTGGTCCTGTTTAATTCTGCCCGTGGCTCTAGCTGGCTCAGGTCCTCTCCATTTCTTCCTCAGGTCACACTGATAAACCCAGTGCTCAAGGTCGAGCCAGGCCAGAACCTCAGGGCCTGTTCCTGAGGGTCCCCAGGTGACCAGGTGACGGGGGCATGCTCCATCATAGTGGCCTCTGCAGTAGCCCACATTCTGTTTCTGTGGCAGCAGGTGTCCGTATTTGCCCGGATCCGGCTCCTCTTCACACCCCCCCCCACACTCTAATGGCTTCTTTTTTCCCTATATGTAAGAGAGAACATGCGGTGTTTTCTTTCCGTGCCAGGTTTATTTTACTTAACACAGTGTCTTCCTTGTTGCTGTAAATGACAGAATTCATTTTGGGGGCTGAATAATATTCCACTGTAATGGCATCTCGATGTCTGCACACCTGCCCTCTGACCTGCCGTTCGCTGTGGTCCTCGTCACATGCTGGGCATCTGCCTGTCTTGTCCCTGCTTGCAGCACTTTTCCAACCCTTCTGTTCTGAGCAGGTCTCCTCTGGTCTCCCGGCCTCCCGCTTGCCAGTTTCTTTAGCTCTGTGCAGATACCATCCCTGGGGTGCCCCTGAAGTTCCCATATCCTCAACAAAACCTTATCCTGTCCTCAAGTCTGGGCCAACTTGTGCTCCTTGGCATAAAGCTCCGCCTTTCTGTGGGCGTGTCCTGTGGATCCCTGTGCAGGACTGCTACCCACAGCCTCCCCTCAGGGGGGACACCTCAGCTAGGCATTATTGTGGGGCCCAAGTGAATTCTTTTTTTTTTTTTTTTTAACTTTTTTTAGTTGTCGATGGACCTTTATTTTATTTATTCATATGTGGTGCTGAGAATCCAACCCAGTGCCTCATACATGCTAGGCAAGTGCTCTACCACTGAGCCACAACTTCAGCCCCTCCTCAAGTGAATTTTTATGGGAGGGTACTCAAGAGTTAGGGAGAAACCTGGTGCAATGGTACACACTTGTAATCCCAGCTGCTCGGGAGGCTGAGGCAGAAGGATTCCAAGTTTGAGGCCAACAAGTTTGAGGTCAGCCTGGGAAGTATAGTATGATTCTGTCTCAAACAAATAAAAAACAGAGCTGGGGTGAGAGATTGGGAGTGGAGATTTGGCGTTGGCAGGTTGGGGACCCCTCAGGGATGTGGTTATCTGGATTTGCAGCTTCTCTCTGTCCCATGCATGTGTCTTCAGGGCGGGGCAGGAAAGGACTGAGAGCCAGGGATAGCAGGTGGGCATGGATCAGTGCAGAGGCACAGCCTGTGTGGGACCTCAGAGCCCTGGCAATGCTGGGTCCAGATGCCGTTCCCGAGCCCCACCCTCCAGGGCCAGCTGGGAATCCCTGGGAACGAGGCTGCTCCCCTCCCACAGCTTGGTGCTGTGTCCTGCTGAGGTTGCTCACCTCACTGGGCCCTAGGAGCAATCGTCACTTGGTCCCCCATGCCAACCCCTGGGATTACAGAAGGGAGGCTGATGTCCAGAGGCAGGAAGTGGAGCAGCCCCGCCCGGCCCTGAGCCCCTTCCCCTGCCTGTCCTAGAAGAGCACCCTTATCAAGCTCGCCAACATCCGGGCAGCCGAGAAGGTGGAGGAGAAGAGCTTCAGCAGCTCACACGTCATGCAGGTCATCTACACGGACGAGGCCGGCCGGCCTCAGACTGCCTACCTGCAGTGCAAGGTGCAGCCCCGGGGCGGGTGCAGGGAGAGAGGGTGTGCACTTGTTCTGGGGTCTGAGTCCTTGGGCACCATGGCCCATGTCTGGCTTGGGCATCTCGGGTGGGGTCTTGGGTGGCCCTATTAAGTCATTATTCACTTAAGAATATTGATGGAACCGAGCTTAGCTGTGCACCCCTGCTCTCACAGCAACTTGGGAGGCTGCAGCAGGATGATCGCAAGTTTAAGGCCAACCTGGGCAAGTTGGGGAGACCCTGACTCAAACAAAAGGGCTGGGGTGCAGCTCAGTGATGAACGCGTGCTGAGCATGTGTGAGGCTTGGGTTTCATCTCTGGCCCCCCCAAAAAAAACCCTACAAAATTTATTGAGCATCTCCTAGGTTCTGCACAATTCTGGGTGCAGGGATGCTGTGGCTGATGAAGAGGTTCCCGCTTCTATTCCAGGGGAGGAGGTGGACCACTAAATGAATATTTTAAATGTCCATGGCAATGGAGCCTGGAAGGGGGACTGAGGGGGGACTGAGGGACTCTGAGACTGGGGCGGTTGTGCTGTATGTGGGGTCATCAGGGAGGTGACATTTGAGCAGGGACATTATGTCTGGGGTGAGGACACAGGGAACAAGCAGGAGGTCTGAGGTGAGGGGCCCTGGCTTCTTCCTGGGACAGCAGTCCTGGGCCAACGCAGGGGAGGTTCACAGACTCATCCCACAGGCCCTGCCCTCTGGGGTTCCCTTTTGGGTCAGGGTCCAGAGCCACAGGGAAAAAGTGGTGACAGGGCCACTGTGCACAGTTAGCAGGTCCCAGAACACCCAGGAGCACAGCTCCAGAGTGCCTGGCGTGACTGTGACCCTGTGGGGAAGGCTGGCCTTCCCTGATTGTCCCCAAGCTGCCTGTGGGCAGATGGGAACCATGGTGTCCAGGTGGCCCAGGAGCTCCGGGGAGGGCGGGCCTCCTGTGGCGGTCACTCTGGGCCTGTGGTCACTCTGGGCCTGTGGTCACTCTGGGCCAGCGGTCACTCTGGGCCTGTGTCCCTGCAGTGTGTGAACGAGCTGAACCAGTGGCTGTCTGCGCTGCGGAAGGTGAGCGTTAACAACAGTGGCCTGCTGGGCACCTACCACCCTGGCGTCTTCCGTGGGGACAAGTGGAGCTGCTGCCACCAGAAGGATAAGACAGGTGGGCGGGGCCCGGGCCCTGCTCTGTGTCTGTGGAGGGGAATCAACCCGAGGAAAGCCAGCTCTCCAGGTGCTCTGGAAATAGAGGGCTCCTTGACCAGGTGGCTTGGGACACCTGATGTGTGTGGCTTACGAGGTGAACAGGTCAAGGCTCCGAGGGACCTCAGAGCTCCAGAACTGCCCTGGAAGCCGGTTAACCTAGCACTTCCCAGACTCCTGGAACAGGGAGCCCTGGGGACCTGCCCTTGCAGAGAGGCTTCTTGCACAGCAGGAAGAGGAGTCCCCTGTTCCTGATGCCAGAGGGCACCCAAGTGGGCACAGCTCTGATACCAGAGCTGCGGGGAGGCGGGGACTGGGCCCTGGGCATCTAGAACCCTGGGTGACTGTGGAAGTGGTGCGTGTCCACAGCACACGGCTGCTGAGCAGTGAATGTGTTTAGGGAGGACAGCGAACGGGGTTTTAAATTTTAAAAAAATTTTATTTAATTTTAATTAACAGTCTCATGGGGCTAGAGGCTCCGCTGGTGGACAGAGTGGTTCAGGAACGTCAGGGGCCTCCCTACCCCCTCCTGCCGTACGGTGGCCTCAGCATTTGGAGCCCCCGGCCATAGCACAGGAGAGGTCAGCCACCTGTGCCAGCCGTGCCCTGGGCTTGCAGTTGAGCCGTGGGTGGGCTGTGGCTCACTAGTAGGGCATGAGTGGCCACCCGACTGGCCTGACCTGTGGCTGTGACCATCGCAACAACACTGTCATTGGTGAAGTAGCCCATGAAGCAGGGCCCAGTGTCCCACTTTATAGGGAAGAAGCTGGGACTGTGGGTAGGTAGCAGGGTTGGCTCTTTCAAAGCCCCTGGGGCCCCCTCACTTTGATCTTAGTCCCCTGGGCAGGTGGCCTTCCAGAAGCCACAGCTCCCTGGCTTGGATCCTGCATCCCAGTTCCAGCCACTCAGCCCGTGGTTCAGGAGCCCAGGCCCACGGCAGCCAGAGGGGTGGGGACCTGGAGGGCCTGGGCCCTGCACACCAGGCCCTGCCCGCGTCCAGCCCCGTCCCTCCCAGGGCCTTGTTTCCCTGTCTGTACCACCGGGCAGTGGCTGGTGGTTCTCTAGTAACTCTGCCCTCCCCCTGCTGCCAGGTCGGGGCTGTGATAAAACCCGGTCACGGGTGACCCTGCAGGAGTGGAATGACCCTCTTGACCATGACCTGGAGGCCCAGCTCGTCTACCGGCATCTGCTGGGTGTGGAGGCCGTGCTGCGGTGAGGAGGCCCTGCTGGGGCGGCAGGTCCCAGGGGAGCTGGCCGTCTTGGGGGTCCCTGGCTGGGGGCAGCAGATCCCATGGGGAGCTGGCCATCCTGGGGGAGTCCCTTGCTGAGCAGCAGGTCCCACGCGGAGCTGGCCATCCTGAGGGTCCTCGGCTGGGGGCAGCAGTCCCACAGGGGGCTGGGCAACTGGGGGTCCCTGGTCAGGGGCAGCAGGTCCCACACAGAGCGGTGCATCCTGGGAATGAGCTGGGCCAGGGCCGAGGCTGGAGTCGGGCTGAGCGCTGCTCTGTGGGGGCTGGTCACCTTTCTTTTACTGCTGCTCTGTGGGGACTGGCCACCTTTCTTCTACTGGGGACCAGCACTTTCCTCTCTCCCAGCCGTGTCTGAAGAGGGCCTCTCTGAAACAGGAGGCCGGCTTCTCCTAGGCCCTAAGGGTCAGGGCCATGGCTGCTTCCTGCCCTGGGTGGAGATCACAGTGGCCCCATGACACAGGCCAGCTCTGAGCTCCTGGCTGTCTTGCTGATCCATGGCTCTCAGCCCTGATTAGAAAGATGCTTAATTTGTGTGTGTGTGTGGTGTGGGGGCCTGGCACGTGCCAGGCAAGTGCCCCACTAAGCCGCATCCCAGCCCAGACAGGATGAAGTTGAAAACAGGATGTCTGGGCCCCATCGAGGGGCCTCCCAGGGTGGGGCCATGCGGGTGTTTGAGGATGGGGCCACCTAGCCCACACCCTCCGCCCTGACCCCCTGGCCGCAGTGGGGCTGGGCCTCCCCATCCTTCTCTAGGACGCAGCCCCTCCCTCAGAACCCCGAGCTCACCCCATCTGTCTAGAGGCACTCGCTCCCTGAGGGCTGCCTGTCCCCAGCAGTCTTGTCTCCGTGGCCACCTGCTCTCTGACAGTGTGGCCCTGGCCCACCCCACCCCCTGTTTCTGCCCCCATTGAACCTGACCCTGTGCCTGCCTGGCCCTGGGCTGCGATTGAGCCCTGAGTAGGGACTGGCGGCTCTACATGGGAATTGCTGGGCAGTCACCTGACCTGCAACCTGGGGCAGTGACCGTGACAGCAGTGTCTTCCTCACTGATCTCACCCCACCCTGGGAAGTGGCTCTCCAGTTACCCACTAGCCCCCTGCTGCAGCCTGACCCCCACCCTCCTGCCTCCCCATGTAAACTGCAGAACCCTCGGCCGTCCCTGGTCAGCGCCCCACCATCCCCGCTTAACCCAGGAGTAGACCTAAGACCAGCTGCCTGTCCACGGTGCCAGGCTGCGTTAGTTCCTGGGGACTTCATCAACCCGACTGAAAGGAATAGGTTCCTTCTCTGGGTTCTGGACCCCAGAAGTACAGCCCTCTCCCTGGGTTGCAGTCAGGGTGTCCTCAGCACCGGCGCCTCCTGGTGGCTGGAGGGGGAATCCCTGGCCTCTTTCAGCTTCTAAAAGCCACTTGACCCAGGCCTGTGCCTGTCCCTACCCTTCAGCTGCCTCATCTAGCCCCTACTTCCTGTCCTCTTCTCTGTCCCCCTTGCCTCCCTCCTCTGAGGACCCTTGTGACCACATACAGCCCCCCCCCCCAGCATCCAGGCTCCTCCCCCCACCTCTGCAACCCTCACTTGACCACATCTGCAAAGTCCCTTTTGTCCTGTCTGGTCACGTTTCCAGAGTCCAAGGATTAGGACCTGGTTACACTGGCAGTCCACTGCTTGGCTGCCCTGGCCACCCTGCATGTCCCTGCATCCCCTCCTTACACTCTCTCTCCAGCCTGTCTGGTCAGGCTTTGCCCCATCTCTGTCTAGATTGCCCTTGTCTAGGTCACAGGTGACCGCCACATAGCCAGATCAGGCCACGCTCTGTCTTCCTCCTCTTGACCTGGCAGCTGGCAGCTCCCTGCCCGGGCCTCCTCTTCCTCCTCCTCCTCACCTGGGCCTGCCTTCTGCCTGTGGCTGTCAGTCACGTCCCTGGCCAGTGGTCCCTGAGCTCCGTGTCGATGTCCAGACACCATCCTGCCTTCACCCCACTGGGCTCTTCCTTCCTTCCTCTCCTCCGCCCTCTGGATGTGCATGCTGCAGTTCTAGGGCCATCCCTTGCCTTGCCGGCCTCTGCATCCACCCTCTGAAAGTCCTCCTGATTTTCACTGAGCCCAGATCTAACCCCTTTTCTCCCTCTGGCCTGAGCCTCTCCACTGTCTCCCTGGCAGCCTCCCAGGATCTGCTCTCCAGAGAACCCATGGCACGGGCCTCGGAGACCTGGAACAAAGGATAGCACTGCCTGCTTACAGCCTCTGCTGCCCACGCACTTAAACACCAAAGTCATCAGCATGGCCACCGAGTCCCATGTGCCCTGGCCAGTCTCCCTCTCAGCCTCATCTTCCACCCCCACCCCAGGCCCTTTGCACTTGCTGTGCCCTTTGCCTGAAGGCTCTTCTCAAGTGTTCACTTGCCCATCCCTATACTCTGATGCCACCATGTCAAAGAGGCCTCCCCTGACCCGTTACCCCAAGGGACTCATCACCCTTGAACCGAGTGATATGTTTCCTATCCCAAGGGACCTGTCACCCTTGAACCGAGTGATGTTTCCTTGGTCCTTATTCCTTGTTCCTTGACGGTCTCTTGACGACACTGTGAGAAACACGCAGGCAGGACTCATTCTCTCCTTAATTCCAATAGCAAGAGCAGTGCCAGGGACACTGGACCCTCAGAGACACGGAGGGGCAGGGTGGTGGGCGGCACTGGAGCTGGTCTGTGATGTCTGGCAGAAGGCAGAGCAGAGAAGGATGTCCAGGCAGGGACAACATGGCATAAAGATGACATGCCCATCCCAGAGGAGCAGGACAGCATGCGGGGCCAACCCTGCAGGGCCCAGAGGGCATCCCAGGGCCTTCTAGACCCAGCAGAGGGACGGTCCCTCCCAGAACGGACTGGGAGGCCTGTGAGGTGCTTCAGGCTGCTCGCCCCTCCCCAGCTCACAGAGAATGGGACTTGGAACTGTACTGCGGCTATCACTGTGTCCTGTCCCTTTAGGAACTCAGGGTCGGCAATCTTACAGTCCAATTGAGACAGTGTGCATCTGTGAACCCCCAGAGCAAGGCAGGTCACACACTCCCTGGGTGACCGGGTCAGCTGACAGACCATTTCACAAAGCAGGCTGTAAGGTGGACAGCCACTTTGTGTAGAATATTTTATTACTACTCATTAGGTGTCACAACATGTCAATATTAAGAGCAAGGAACTTGGGGGGCAGATTAAGGGCTGGGGTATAGCTCTGATTGAGGTAAACCCTTAACATGTGGAAAGTTCTGGGTTCCACCCAGCACAAACCAAAAAAACATCATTTCATGACCAGTTGACACTAGGGGACTTTCAGGCCCAGTTGGCAGTGTCCTCATAGGCAGGCCTTGCAAGGCAAAGCAACAAGGTTTGGATAGTGGTATGTGAAAAGCCTCTGGTGGGGCTTGCCTGTAATCCCAGCAGCTTGGGAGGCTGAGGGAAGGAGGATCGTGAGTTCAAAGCCAGCCTCAGGAACTCGGTGAGGCCCTGTCTCTGATGAAATACAAAAAAGGGCCAGGATGTGGCTCAGTGGTTAAGTGCCCCTGGGCTCAATCCCTAGTATAAAACAAAAAACCTTTCTGGTTGACCCACATTTGGGGCAGGGGAGGGATTGGTTGGAAGAGGCAAACTGGAAGGTGACCAGGGCCCAAGACCTGTCCCCCCCCATAGACTGAGTCAACCCCACCCCCCACGTGGGGTCCTTGGGCCTTCCCAGCAGGTGGGATGTGGTACTGACCCTTACCTGCCCTCACCCCCCACCCCCAGGGAGAAGCACCGGGAGCTGAGTGGGGACACAGAGGCAGATGCTGTGCCCGCGGGCTCTGGTGAAGGTAGGTCTCTCCGTCGGGGACTCGTGTCTACCCGAGACCCTGAGTGCCGCCCTCACAGCTGCGTCTGCTTGCAGCCCCCACAGACCCGCTGGGTGAGCTGCTCCAGGTGCTGCAGGACCTCCGGGAGGCCCACAGCGCCAGCCCGCCCGGGCCGCCCCCCTCCGAGCCCGGCCGCCTCCTGGAGCTGCAGACGTGAGGCCTGCGTGGAGCCCCCACCTGCCAGGCGCTTGGAAACGACGCTGTGCTCTGGGCTCTGTGCCCAGCCTCCCCCACTGGGGGCCAGCCTGGTCCCCCTTGGTGGGTCTCTGGCCCTTCATGGTAAACCTGAAGTCTGGGCGACTTGGGTGGCTCCTGGGAGGGCCCGGCCACTCCCTAATGCCCTCTGCAGCTCAGATTCTCCAGGGACCCTCCTGTCCTGCCTAGGACAGACCCAGCCAGGACAGCCCTGGGGTGGGGGGGTCCAGGCCCAGAAGACCAGGCTGCCTCATGCCCCCCATGCCCCCTCGCTTATGGCCATGACCCCTGCGGCTCCCCTGTCCCCCCACTGCCTGGCCCCTGAGCAGGGCACCAGGTGCCCTACAGCCAACAATAAACTGCTGTGACTGCCAGAGCTCGGGGGTCTTGGAGTGGGCATTGGGGGGAGCCAGGGCTGCCACAGGTCCTCTGTGCATCTCTCTGCCCACTCTTGCCCCCCCACCTGGGCAGGAGCCCCTCTACTCCTGGGTCCCCTCCTCCGCCCCCACAGGTCCCAGCCCTTCCCAGTTGCAGTCTCCCTGAAGCCGACTCCCCAGAAGCCCCTGCCTAGAGTGTCCTGAAGACTGCACAGCAGGGCCACCCCTCTTCCTGCACCCAGGCCATGCTGTAGGACCTCAGGGTTGGCCACGCTGGGGGCTGCCCACGCTGGGGGCTGCCCACGCTGGGGGCTGTCAGGCTGAGCTCCCAGCCATGTCCTGGTGACTTTGCTCAGGGTGAGGAGAAGGTCCTGAACCACTATCCAAGGCCTTCAGCCCACGTTGGCAGGTGGCCACCTTCACTCTCAGACACCAGATGCCAAAGGTCAACCATTTCTGGCCCCGCAGGGTTTATCTTACGCCTTCCTTCCCAGAGGCCCAGGCCGTTCCTGCTGTCACGAAGTGTGAATGAGGTCCCGTCCCTGTGTCATGGGAGCAGAGGTTCCTCAGGAAGAGTCCCTGGCATTCTGGGAACTTGTGCCTTTGGTTGGTTCATCCCTCTCCGGCCCCACCAGTCCCCTCTCCCAGGGGTTGCCCACGAGGACCCCCCATTGCCTGTGTGTGGCAATGACAACTGGCCTCTGGATCACAGCAGCATTGGTCCTGGGGTGCTGGAGTGACAAGGGACCGGGCCCCTGTCATCATCTTGCCCCACTCCACATGCCCATGCGCCCTTCCTGTGCTGCCCTGTTCCAGGGCCACAGGCTGCTGCTGTTGTGGGCAGCCCAGGTGCAGGGTGGGAGGAGCCTTCCTGCCTAAAGGGCAGAGAAGCCCCTGAGGCTTCCGGGTAGGACTCAGTGGACATTCCCTGCCCCAAGGCTGCCCCACTGTAGAGCCTCTGCCATCCCAGTACTGGCTGCTGGCTGCAGCCGCCAATATGCAGGAGCCTTCGAGTGGGCACCGTTCCAACATTTTACCTGCGCCAATTCAGTTACATATTCCACCTGTCAGCCTGTTAGCAGCTCTGTGTTTTTTAAGCCATCAGGCAAATGCAGTAATTTGCCCAAGATCATAAAATAAGGACACATGGAGGGAAGAGTTGGGCATTCAGTTAGAAGTTCAAATGAATGTTTAAAACCACATTCAGAAGTCAGGGGTGGTGGCACATGCCTGTGATCCCAGTGACTCCCAAGGTTGAGGCAGGAAGAATACACGTTGGAGGCCAGTCTCAGCAATTTGTTTCATAAAAAGGAGGTGGGTAACCAGGCACAGTGTCACACGCCTGTCATCCCAGTGGCTCAGGAGACTGAGGTAGAATGATTGCAAGTTCAAAGCCAGCTTCAGCAAAAGCAAGGCACTAAGCAACTCAATGAGACCCTGTCTCTAAATAAAATACAAAATAGGGCTGGGGGCTGAGGCTGTAGCTCAGTGGTAAAGTGCTTGTCTCGCATGTGTGAGGCACTGGGTTCGGTCCTCAGCACCACATAAAAATACAAAAACATACTGTGTGTTCATCTACAACTAAATAAATATTTTAAAAAATAGGGCTGGGGAGGTGGCTCAGTGGCTGAGTGCCCCTGAGTTCAATCCCCAGTAGCCCCCGAAAAAAAGGGGTGAGTGGGTTAGCCCCTGGGTTCAATCTCCAGTACCAAAAAACAAAACAAAATAACGAAAAAAAGCAAATATAGAATGAACATGCATTAAAGATCTGCCATAGCAACAGAAAACAAATGCCCAATGAAGCGTGTTCATGGAGCATTTTTGAGAAGCTGTGCATTTAAAAAAAAAAAATTTTTAGTTATACACATTAGTTAGCACAATATCTTTATTTTGCTTATTTTTAGTGGTGCTGAGGATCAAACCCAGTGCCTCACATGTGTGAGGTAAGTGCTCTGCCACTGAGCCATGACCTTAGCCCAAGATGTGCATTTTTTAAAATATTTATTTTTTAGTTGTAGTTGGACACAATACCTTTATTTATTTATTTTTATGTGGCACTGAGGATTGAACCCAGGGCCTCGCACCTGCTAGGTGAGCTCCCTGCAGCTGAGCCACAACCCCACCGCCCCCATTTTGAGAGATGAAATTCTCAGCATCTTCAGCCAAACTTTACCATGCGACCCAGAGGGTGGGGGTCACCAGTCAGGGAATCCTTGCCCTCACCGGCTTGACTTCATCACCACTCAGAAGCCCCACCCAATTGGCCTGGAGAGTTAGGGTCCTGTTCATTGCCTCCTGGATTGGATATCACCCAGGCACAGTGACATTTGGTCACTCCAGGGCTCAAGTGGGAAATGGAAGTAGTGGTACCAGCTCCGGATTCCCGTGGGGGCTTCAGGGCTGCTGCCAAGCTGTTAGGGCTCAGTAGCTCACCTGGAACTCCTGTTGCTTCAAACAGTGCAGGTAGGGCCTTTATACTAAACGGAGTCTGCAAAAATATTAACCCATTCAACCAGGGGATGACGCACTTACCCCACCAAGCGCCTGGCATTCTTACGTCAGTGTGCACCTGCCTCCTCCCCCAGTCCTTCCCCGACTGATCCTGCTAACTAGAAGCCAGTGACAACCCTGCCAGGGGTCTTGCAGCATTCTGCACTGGGAGGTTTGGCAGAGGGCTTCTTTATACACATCCTTCTAGCTAGGATACTTCCTTAGGACCAGCACTCCTCCCCCCCCACTGGCAGCCACAACTGCCCCCTACCCCATTGGCTCCATTCTGTCACCCTCCAGAACACGTTTCCAAAGAGATGAATGGGTGTGGAGAGACCAGAGGTGCCCATCTCGGATTCCTGCTTAGCCTGGACCAAGATGTCACGGTAGAACCAGAGCAGTCCCCAGCTGTCAGAGCGCGTGTGAGCAGTCTGGATTGACGCATGCGCAGAGCTCGCGGCCTCTCTCGGGCGTGCGTGCGCCTGAGCGAGGTCCTCCGGTCCGACAGGGGGCAGTGAGCCGGACTTACGCGAGGTGGCAGCGCCGGCGTGACCCGGAAGAGGTCACGTTTTAAGGCGCTGGCAGCGGCGGCGGCGGTAGCCGCTTTGAGTGTGGGCCCGGCTGCCGCGCCAGGATGAACGCCCCGCCGGCCTTCGAGTCGTTCTTGCTCTTCGAGGGCGAGAAGAAGTAAGCGGAGAGGGCGGGCGGGGCTCGCGGGCAGCGCCCATCGCCTCGGTCCCTGCGGGTCTGGGGCTTCTCCTGCCGGGCGCGGGGGACGGGAGCAGCTTTTGCAGCAGCTCTTGCTTGCCCCGCTTAAGGCAGCCCTGCGAGGCCGTGGCGAGTGCACCCACTTGCAGAGGAGGGAAGTGAGGCTTAGGGAAGTTGAGTCACTTGCACCGGGCTTGCAGGAATTGGTGGGGTCTACTATAGTCGAACCCCGCGTCTGGCTCCTAAGTCCTTTTCCTTAGGGACCTGGCAGCCGACGCGTCTCCCACCCGCCACCTCCACCTTCCGTGGGGCAGCCACAGCGATGGCTCTAAAGCTGCTGTGTGGCATTGCCGGTGTGGAACCTGCAGTGAGTGCCCGTTGCTGGCAGGTTGGAGGCCAGTGGTCAGCCAGCCAGGGCTTGGCTCCTGGAGCTCCCGGTGTGGCCTGATCTGGCTGGAGGCCCAGTTTCGTTACCTTGCAAGTGGACTGCCTGCTATTTTTTGTCATAGAATTTTCTCTTAGGCTTACACGAAGTAATTTGTGCAAATCGCTGAGCCTTAGCCCTTGAAGACTGAAGCCTTAGCCCTTCTTGTGCTTGTTTTGGTCCCAGGGGTTTAACCAGGGGCTCTCTATCACTGAGCTGCATCCCCAGCCCTTCATTTTTTTGAGACAGTGTCTTGCTATGTTCCCAGGCCGGCCTCGGACTTACAGTCCTCCTTGGTTGCTGGGGCTACAGGTGCGTGCCAGCGCCCTGAGCCTTCTCTTTCTTAAGAGGCTGGTGTGTGTGGTCCCATGGTGTAGCCCTTGTCGGCCACTTCAGCCTTCCTTTAGGCAGAGACTCGACTGGGGAACCATCTTGTCCCCCTAGGAGAGACTGGCAATGTCTGGAAACATTTCTGGTTGTCACAGGGGTTGCTGCTGACATCTAGTCGGTAGAAGCCAGGGATGCCCTTAAGGTCACAGTGTACAAAATAGTTGTTCCCCACGGGAAACAAAGCTGTTGTTTTGCATCTGCGGAGTGCTGGCTTAGCGAGACAGGGCAGCTGGGGCTGGGGGTTGGTGCAGCCCCTCTCTAGCATGTGCGGGCCCTGGCAATCAGTTTTCGGCTGACACGGGTGTGTGTGTGTGTGTGTGTGTGGTGGGGGGGGAGGGCCCTGGGTCACTGTACTGTCGTGAGTCAGGAGGGATTTTTGTTTTGTTTCTGTACTGCTGGGGATGGAACCCAGGCCTTGCACATGCTAGGCAAGCGCTCTACACCGGGCCCTCCAGCCCTCAGAGCAGTTTCTCTGGGGTGAAGAGATGGAGAAAGGCTCTCAGAGGAGGCAGGACCTGGCCTGCCTGGAAGGGCAGGGTTTAGACTTGGGGAGCTCCTGCCCCTCAACTGTTGCTTCTGCCTCTTTCTAGGATCACCATTAACAAGGACACCAAAGTGCCCAATGCCTGTTTGTTCACCATCAATAAAGAAGACCACACGCTAGGAAACATCATCAAATCGTAAGTTCCAGGACAGGGGCCTTCAGGGGTGGTTAACGGGGCTTTTGGGGCCAAGCACAAGTCCCCTGAGATTCCTTTGTCTCTCTGAGCTACAGGAAGTCCTCATCTCTTGCCCGAAAGCCGCCATCCTAGTGCTCTGCTCCCAGGGCGAGCTGACCCGGGTCTGCTCACATAAGGCCTGTTTCTCTATTTATCTGACGGGAGTGCAGGCAGCCAGCCGCAGGAAAGCAGGGCTGCTCATGCTGATGAGCACTGAGAGGTGGCCAGGGTTAGCTCCCCCCACCCCACCCCTACTGGTGACAGTGACCTCAGTGACAGAGGTCACTGAATAGTCCAAGATGTAGAGGCAGAGACTGACTGCCGTGGAACAAGGGGAAGTGAAGAGATGTTGTGTGGGTCTCCAGTGCCTGCCGTGGGCACCCCACATTGGCTACACCAGTGAAACTCCAGCTAGGTAGGGGGTCAGAGGTAGGTGGCGAGAGGTAGGTGGCGAGAGGGGACAGGGGAGCTATGCTTTTCCCAGTCTGGCATGTTGGAGGCTGTGGGCAGCAGTGACCCTGGTCCTGGTGCATAAGGTATGGGGATGCCCGTCTCCTGATGACCCCTTCCCTAAGCCAGGACAGCAGGGCACCCAGCTTTTCCAGGGCCTGCTGCTCCCTTGCTGCGTGAGCCCAGTGTCCCCCTGCGCAGAGGCCTCCCTTGTGCTCAGGCTTGGCCAGGAGCGCTCTGGAGCTCTGTGGTGCCAGTGCAGAGCCCTGTAGCCCCATGGAGCAGGCCAGTGTGCAGGGACTGCTTCCTGTCACCAGCAGCTGGGAGCCTGAACTCCTTCCCCTGCTGACTGGTTTGTTGTTCCAGGGCCCTTTTAGGACCAGGCCCAGGGTTTGTGTGTCCTGGCGCCTGGCTGGATATTCAGTTTAGGGAGGTCTCTCTGCTGGTAGGGCTGGGTCCCTGTCTTAACAGAAATCTCAGGAATCCAGAGCCAAGCCAGAGTCCTTGAATCCTACTGGATGCAGGATGTGTGTTGGGGATCCCATGTGGCATATCTTGAGTGTCTATTTTACTCGAAGATTTCTGGGAAAAGAAATGGCGTGGCTAGAAAGCTGGTAAGTCTCAGGCTAGGGCCCAAAGGCCACTAGGCTCTGCCTGCTTCATGCCATCTGCTCCTGCTTCTCAGACAGCTGCTGAAGGACCCACAGGTGCTGTTTGCTGGCTACAAAGTGCCCCACCCCTTGGAGCACAAGATCATCATCCGTGTGCAGACCACGCCGGACTACAGCCCCCAGGAGGCCTTCACCAACGCCATCACAGACCTCATCAGCGAGCTCTCCCTGCTGGAAGAGCGGTTCCGGGTGAGGTTGTGGGTGCTGGTGGAGCTGTTCCCTGGCCCACACCCAGGGTGCCCCAGGGCTGTTTCCTTGGAGGCTTCTGGTGGGAGGCATCGGGGAGCAGGGACTTCCCCCACCTCCCCAGGCGCTCTGACCAGGGCTGTGGAGCTGAGGGGTGCCGTCTCCCTGGGGGGTGGGAACTTTCCTTAGTGCCCAGTCTCCTGCGCTCTTGTGGTCCTCATGGGCCCAGGGGACCTGCTGCCCCTGGAAACTGTTCTTGTGTCTCCTCTGCTGCTGGGCAGCTGGTGCATAAGGCCTGTCTGCCTCCAGGTGCTGCCAAGGGGCAGTTCATCCCAAGTGGGGCCGTCCCACCACAGTCTAGGACAGTTTAGACAGGGAAAGAGCCGCAGCATTCGAGGTCCCCCTTATCTCTGCAGGGTGTGTGGCCACTGGGCCCAGCAGTGGCAGCATGTGCTGCCTCTCCCCCTCCTCCTGTGTGCAGTACAGCCTGGGCTGCGCTGGGGAGAAGGGCCATGGCCTGAGTTCCTTGGTGGACTCTGTGCAGGTTGTTAGACCTGTTTCCGGCAGCCTGGCCAGTCCGGCTGAGGGGCTGCTTTCTTCCTTTTCCCCAGGTGGCCATCAAAGACAAGCAAGAGGGGATTGAATAGAAGGGTCAGAAGACACCTGCTCCTCCTGCAAGCCCAGCTCCGGCCTCCACTGTACCCTCCTCTGTAGGCATCGCAGAGGACCATGGCCAGGCCCAGCTGTGGCTCCTGGCAGCTTCCTCGAGACCTCTTCCCTGACACTGAGGTGTCCTGTACATAGACTGTTTTAGCTTCCTAATAAAGTATGACATTCAAGGACCCAGATGTAGTGGAGGTGACTTCACAGCAGGTAGTCTGGCAGACAACCTGTTCTGGACACTCGGGCCACTGCTGAGTGGACTGGCCCAGAGGCCCCGACTTCTGTCTGGGGGCTGCTGGACGGCACTGAGCAGAAGCGGGCTGGGAAAACGCGCACACATCCATGAACCTGTCTTGGAAGCCCAGCTGCTGGGTCTGCGTCACTGCAAACAGTGCTCGAGGCGCCATGTGGAAATCGAGAATTTAATAAAGACACTATCAAAACGCCCCCCTCCAGCCCCGAGCTAAATAAGTTAAGCCGTGTCCCTGGTGCGCTGCGTCCGGGGAGCCTGCCCGGCTAGCATCTCCTCCAGACAGCTATGATGTTGGAGTCCGTCAGAGCCGTGAGGTAGGTCAAGGCACTATTGGCCACCACAGTGTTCACCATGGTCTTGGTCACCGGCTGCCCAAGTGCTAAGGGCTGAGGCCATTTAAGGATCTGGTGGGACCAGAGAGAGGGCTGGGTTCCTGCTTCCAGACACCAGCCCCACACACTGCCAGCCCAGCCTGGAGGAGGCGGGGCCTGGATGGCACCCATGGGGACGGCACCCTTGGGATGGTACCTGCACAGGGGCCTGTGGGGCTGCCAGCTGTGGAGGCGGCTGCTTTAGGATGTGCTCCACATCATAGATCCACACGCTGCCCTCCTCATCTCCGCAGAGCACGACCCCCTTCTCTGCCAGGACAGAGGGGCCTCAGGTGAGAGTCAGTGGGGGCAGGGCTCCAAGAAGCAGGGGTCGGGGCAGGGGGACTCACCAGGGCAGGTGCTGAGCGAGAAGTACGCCAGGTCCGTGGATGACCACTGCAGCTGGGCCAGGACCACCACAGCCACCGGGGACTGGCTGCCTCGGCCTGCCCATGTCTGGCTCCAGCTCCACAGGCAGATGGTGCCCAGGCCACTCCCCTTGGAGGCTGTGGTGAAGGCAGAATGGAGACCTGTGCCCAGGCTGCCCCTTGCCGCTCTCCCGCTCCCCACGTGGGATGCCTCAGAAGCCCTTGGACCTGAGCCCAGCCCAAGGATAAGTGACCCACCCATATGGGTCCCAGAGGCCAGGCTGTCCTGCCCGGGCTCACTCACCCACGACATCCTCATTCACAAACGCCAGCCCATCCACTCTCCGCCCAGGTGCCTGGGAGCCCGCAGAGAAGACGAACTCCACCTCGCACACCCTGCAGGACGGCAGACGGTGCCAGTGGCTGGCCCTGGCATGCAGAGCCGCCTGTCTGCCCTGGTCAGCCAGCCACCTGGGCCCTGGCCTGGGGGAGGCTGGGAGATGCAGCCCCAAACGGCACTCTTGGCCACCGAGAGGCTCAGCGTCACTCTGAAGGGGGCCAACTTCTGGTGCCCCAGGCCACAGGGAGTGGGCGCCCAGAGGCACAAGGGGTAGGATGGGTGGGCTGTGTGGCTGGGCCTCTGGGCCCAGGTGCCAAGCTGGGAAGGTGTCTCGGGCCACATGCCAGGACCTGGGGTGGGGCTGCTCTGACCCCGAGGACAGGGGAGTGGCTCACATGAGTGGGGTCACTGTGTGGCTGGCCCAGTCCTGCAGAGGCCAGCCAAAAAGCACCTAACTAGGGACAGGCCTGAGCCGTGGCAGAGGGGACAAGAAGGCACCAACACACCTGAGCATATGGGACAGGCAGACGTGGCACAAGGAAGTGAGAGGTAGCCAGTGCTACTCCAGGTGTGCAGGGGGAGCTGGATGGGAGCAGTGGAACCCATTGCCACCACTAGCACTTAGCTGGACATGCTACACCCTTTGCCTTGGCCTCCACTGGCCCTCTGCGCACGCCGTCCCTCCAGGCAACCTCTCCCCTGCCTGGTCCTTGTAGGCTGCCTGCCGCTCGTCTCCTTGGCAGAGTGCCCTGGCTGACCCCGTGAGGACATCCCCTCCCAATTACTCTTCTTTTGGAGCTGACACCACCCTTTGTGGGGCTGTCACTGGCCACCTTTGTGAGGCGTCTCCCAGCAAGGCTGTGTCCCAAGGCAGGAACCCGTGCTGTGCACTGTCCCAGGAGTTTTCCAGTTGACACTGATGCGCCACCTCCCTGCCCTGCACTAGCCCTGGGGTTCAAGTCGTTGTCTCCTTTCTATGGACAAGGACATTACGCTAATAAGAAGGTCACACTGCTGAGCAGCAGGACCTGGGCTCAAATCAGTTGGTCACAGTATGGTGAGGAGCGCCCCGACGTCTCTAAGGCTGCCAAGGGCAGGGGCATGCTGGGCACCCAGTCCCAGGGCCTGGCTTTCCAGGCATCCCTGCCGGGCCTCACCTCCTCTTTTGGGGCTGGTCCAGCCGCACGTCCCAGCAGCAGCAGCCCCCCTCGCAGCCGGCCAACAGGTAGGCATCCGGGCAGGGGGCGACGGGGCAGAGGCGCAGCGGGATGGAGGTGGAGTCCAGTGTGAGCAGCTGGCTGCCAGCAGGTGAGGGGCAGCATGAGTCCGGAGCCCTGTGTGACCTGCTGGCCACTGCTCCCTCCCCAGGCCACCTGCAGGCTCACCTGGCCTGGAACTCATAGTCACGGTTGGGCACCCCAATGTCCCAGAGGATGATCCGCTTGTCATAGGAGGCCGCTGAGGAGGGAATGGGAAGGGGAGAGCAGCCCTGAGGGGCCCTGTGCCCTCCTGCAGGCTGCGTCCCAGTCTGAGACCAGGGTCCCCAGGTCAGCCCTTCAGAGGGGGGAGTGGGACTGTGGCCAGGAAATGGGACTTGGCCAACGGTCCCACCGTCCTGCTGAGTTCCGTGTACCCAGCACCGCAGCCGTCTCCTGCCACTCCTTCACCACCTCTGCTGGGTGCACCCTGAGGGCCAGCAGTGCCCACCCAGGTCACTGACAGAGCAGGGGCCCAGGTTTCCAGGAAACTCCAAGGCCACAGAGCAGGTTGGGCATAAGATCGGATCCAGAGCCCAGTCAGTTAACCATGAAGCCATGTCAGCGCCACAGCTGAACTCAAGGCCCAGGGAACTCAGCAGCCACCAACTCCCTACCATCCCAGGGAGGGGACACATGAGGCCATCAGGGCAGCAGCCTGGGATGTGGGGAAGCCCTGGGTCAGGGGAGAGGGTCTTACTGAACAGGTGGGTCTCATGGATGGGACTGAAGCAGAGGGTGGCGATGGCCTTCTTGTGGGCCCGGATGACCCCGCAGCAGAAACCCGCCCGCACGTGCAGTAGCCGGACCAGGCCACGCAGGCCTGCGGCCGCCAGAACATTCCAACGCTTCTTGTGGCCTGCCTGCGTGACCACTGTCAGGGCTGTCCAGGCCACTGAGAAGAACTCCTGGAGGAGGCGGGGAAGCGGTCACTGAGCAGTTACAGTGTGAACATGCCGCAGCGCCAGGCCTGGGGGCCTGCGTGAGGACAAGGTCGGGAGGACTGAGAACCCCACACTTGGCCCGGCAGCCTTGGCACTCACCTCGCCAGGCGCCTTGTACTTGTGAAGCACGATGCCCGTCTGGCAGTCTATCACGCAAACCGCCTCCCCGCCACACGTGGCCACCGTCTGGGAGGTGGCCCCGGAGTGCCCTGTTTCAAGGGGTCATCTGAGTGAAAACTTTTGCGGTAAGTCCTTCCCTGCAGCTCCCTCTTCCCAGCCTATAAAACTTTTTTTTTTTTTTGGTGGCACTGGGGATTAAACCCAGGTGTACTTTACCACTGAGCTGTATCCCCAGCCCTTTATTTGAGACAGGGTCTTGCTCAATTACGGAGGCTGGCTTTGAACTTGCCATCCTCCTGCCTAGCCTCCAGGGGGATTACAGGTGTGTATCACAGTGTATCACAGTGCCCCCTCTATCCAGGGATGGCCCCCCGCCATGGCCCTGCTGGGAGTGCGCATGGTGTGGCTCTGCTCCGGTGGCCCTCCTCCCTCTCCCGAGACGCACCCTCCTCCCAGGCTGGCTCGAAGGCACAGGCCCACAGCTGGGTCTTCAGGTCCTGAGGGCTGTTGTTCCTGCTGTGGCACTGCAGGAAGTGTAGGGGCTCCAGCTGCAGGGCAGGCTGTGGGGACACAAGGCGTCATGGCTACCCGCTCCTGCTCCCCTAACACGTCACCCCTGGACCTGGCTTCTCACCTGGCTGCTGTCGGGGCCTGAGGGGCCGCCCTCCATCTGGGCTGATGGGGAGTTACAAGCTCGCTTGGTGGAAGGAAGGTTGAGTGGGACATCATCTGGCCGTTTCAAGGACATCAGCCTGGCCTGTGGAGGGGGCCTGGTGACCACAGGTGCACCTGCCTGGGGCTTTCTTCCTCCCGACCACCGACAGACTGCGTGCTCTTGAGGGCACAGGAGGCAAGGGCTGCTCCAGGTCACGGAGGAGTCTGCTCAGTGTTATGGTTTGGGTGTTCAATTGGTCACCCACAAGTCCGTCACAGTCACTGCTCGTGACGCCACTGGGAGGTGGGGCCCAGTGGAAGGCAGTCAGGTCACTGGTGGCATGCCTCTGAAGGGGACATCAGCCCCCTGGTCCCTTCCTCCCTGCCTTCTGACCATCATGATGTGATCAGGGTTCTTCTACCACATGTGCTAGCCATAATGTACTGTGCTGCCACAGACCCCAAGTGATGAGACCAAGTGACTATGGATTGAAGAAACTGTGAGCCAAAATAAACCTTTCCTCCTTGCAAGCTGATTATCTCAGGCACTTTGTCACAGTGACAGAAAGCTCTCTGACAGCTTGGGCACAGGCAGGAGTCTCCTGGGCTCCTGTGAGGGCCCTCTTGATTTCCAGTAGCTTTCCCAGGGACTGAGGGTCAAGGCAGGTCCTTGGCCCCAGGAGCCCCATGGAGTCACACTCACCCTGGGCTTGTAGGTAGCTGTAGTTTCCTGGGGCCTCTTTGGGACGTCTGCCTCATGCACCTGGGTCCCACCGGAGGCTACCAATTCCTCAGAGATCATCCGAACCTGGGCAGGGCCAGGCCTTCAGGAAGCTGGGCACGGTCCTGAATGCCCCAAGCCCTTCACCAGACACCAGGTCAAAGGGAGCTCGGCCTCTGGGAAAGGGCCTCTGCAGCTGCTGTCCCTGACCCGCCCCGCTCCTCACAGTCACCAGCCACTCAAGGACAGACACCTCCAAGGCAGTGAGAGCCAGGGAAACTGACCCCTGGCACCACGGGGTGAGTACATACTCGCCACTGGGTGAACTCGCGGAGAGAGTCCGGGCCATAGCACACGTCCTTGACGGCGGACTTCACGAAGTCAGCCTGGGCTTTCTTGGTCTCCTTTCCAGGGCCCAGTGCAGCCATGAACTTCTCCCAGTGAGCTGTGACCTGGTAGGGAGGAACCAAATCCAAGCCCAGCCCCTCCCACCATATCACAGGCATCTTTACTCTACCCCCTACCAGGAGCCTCTTAAAGGCACCAGCACAAAGCAAGGAAGACTGGCCCAAACCTGCTTGGCCCAGTTGGTCCCGGCCTCCCTCACTGTGCCCCGCCTGCACACCTGCTGGGCAGGACCTCCAAAGACAGAAGCAGAGCTGCAGCCAGGCACAGAGTAACATGCCAGGCAGTCCAGGCGAGGAGACCCTAAAACCCAGCTCAGTGTCCTCTTCTGTCACTCCTTCAATGCCCCCCACTGCTCCCAAGCACGCCTAGATAAACTTCTCCCTGCCTTTACCCTGTTGGTCAGTTCCCGGTTCAGATTCTCCATCTGAGTGCAAGTGGAGGACGCATCCTTGCCATTGACCTTGCGTAGCTTGGGCAGGAGAAAAGAGACTTTGAGGTTGTCATTGACCTAAGAGATGAAGGAATAGTGGAGTCTGAACACCATGGAGTCCCGACACAGGGGCATGGGACTGGTGGGAGACCCCACTTACCGTCAGGAAGGGGTTGCCCTCCAGGCTAAGCTCCTCCAGCTGCGGGAACTGGCTTAAGGCAGTGACATCCCCCAGCTGGTTGTTGGCACAGCGGAGGATGCGCAGGTGCGGCAGGCCCAGGTTGGGCGGCAGGGCCTCCAGCAGGTTGTAGGAGAGGTCAAGTTCCTGCAGCTGCTTCAGGCGGCTCAGGAGCTTCGGGTCCAGGTGCTCAGAGAGCAGGTTCAGCCGTGACAGGCTGCGTGGGGGCAGAGGGAAGGCTGCTCAGGGAACAGCAGGCCTCCTACACCACACCCAAGTGCCCAGGCCGCCGCGGAAAGGGTTTCACCTGATATTTCTTGTGCATGCACGGAAATTTTAAAAAACCTTATAGCTACTTTAGAACCCGGGGCTGCTGTCGTCCTCGGGACGCTTTTCCTGATCCTCTGGGAGCTCCTCTGTGCTTTTCTCTAAACATCTCAGCGGGTGGCGCAACACTCTCCTTCTGCCCTCGGCAGGGGTAGAGCCACTCGGGCCCACCTGGCACACACGCAGGGCAGCAAAGGTCCCGTGCGCCTCTTAGGACGTTTGGCGCGTGATGAGACTCCGCCAGGGCCAGGGGACGATAACGGAGACAGGCAGCGGGAGGGGAGGGGCCCTGGCCTTTCTTCCCGCCCCCGAGAGACATGGGCGACCCGGGGGGCTGCGGGACCCCCGCGCACGCGGACACAGCCTCCCCCGCCCGGCTCTTACTCCAGGCTCCTGATCTTCCCCAACCGGTCGCTCTTGGGTCGCCCGCGTTGCATGAGCAGCCGCGCCGTGAGGGGGCCCATGGCGAGCGGGCGCGGCCCGCGCTGGCCCCCTCGGTCTCCTGGAGTCCGGCGGAGCCCGGGATGCCCGCCGTCAGGAGCTCCTGTTCGCCGTTGCCGAGCCCAGGAGGTGGCGCCGCGCAAGTCCCGGGACAGCGACCACCGGAAGGAAGCGGAGCCGAGGCCGAGTGCAGGCGCGGACTACAACTCCCAGCGGGCCCCGCGCCGCGCATGCGCGCTGTTCGCCCGGACGGCGCGATGGCGGCTGCAGAGGCCCCTGAGGTCCTGCAGCAGTGCGGCTGCAAGGGCATCCGGACCTGTCTGATCTGCGAGGGGCAGCGCTGCGGTGACCCGCCTTGGCAGCTGTCCCCGCAGGTAAGGGCTGGGAGAGGGGCCACTCAGATGGACTACGTTCTCCATATGGGGAAACTGAGGCCCAGCTCGGCCCTGATGCGGGCCGGGGTCGGAGCCTGCCAGGGGCCCCCGAGGTAGGGGCGCTGGGGGCCCGAGGTAGGGGCGCTGGGGGCCCGAGAATGGGGGCTTGGAGGAGTGGTCTGGCGAGTGGGAGGCGGCTGCGACGTGGGCGGGTCGGCCCGCAGCCCTCCTCAGGGACTTTGGGGGGATCTGTCAGCGCAGGTCGCCTTGGCCCATCGGGACTCCACAGCACTAGGGAGACACGCGGAAAGGGCGGTGGGTGCTGAATGCCCTGCCAGCGATGCCCGGAGACCTTGCACGGAAACGGGAGAGGAGGCACTAATTCGAGAACTCGGAGCCTGGCAATGCTGCAGGTGGCTGCCAGGCGCTCCGGCCAGGGGACCTGCTTGGGTAGAGGCCTGGGGTTGTGCGTGCGTGTGCTGGGAACGAGGATGGTGCTGGAGTGAGGGAGAGGAGGCTGGGGAGGTCAAAGGGGCCTGAGCACAGAGGCCCCGTGTCCTCTGAAGCAGGTGGACTTGTTTTGAAGACCCTGGAGAGCTCCTGGAGGGTTTTAAAGGAATTATAAGGTGAAATGTGAATTTTGGAAGGATCCCGGAGTGGAGGGGCCAATGTGATAGTAAAAGTGCCCATGGTCCTGTGGAAGACTGTGTGGTGCGCCTCACAGATTTAATCTAGAATTACCAAATGATCCAGCAATCCCATTCTGGTGTCTATATCCAACAGAAATGAAAGTGAGACTTTGAGACCTTTGTTCATCGTGCTGTAGCAGTGTTATTCACAATAACAAAAGGTGGAAGCCACCCAAGTGTCCATCAAGAGATGAGTGGAAAAGCAAAATGTGGGCGGTTCATACAATGGACATTATTCAGCCTTAAAAAGGAAGGAAAGCCTGACACATGCCGAACTGGGGATGACCTTGAGGACATTATGCTGAGTGAAATAAGCCAGTCTCAAAAGGCCAGATGTGGGCTGGGTTGTGGCTCAGTGGTAGAGCGCTTGCCTGGCATGTGTGAGGCCCTGGGTTCAGTTCCCAGCATCAAAAGAACAAAACAACAAGAGGGCACATACTGGGTGCCTGTTCTTATATGTGGAACCCCAAGTAGTCAAAGTCATAGAGACACAAAGTGGAATGAAGGTTACCAGGAGCTGGGGAGGGGAGGATGGGGAGTTAGTGTTTTAACGGATACAGTTTTGCAAAAAGGAGGGGTGCTGGAGATGGACAGTGGTGACAGCTGCCCAACAGTGTGAATGTATTTAAGTGCAGAAGGTCTGAAGTGTGCAGTGACCCTGGGTGTGGAGAGACGGCCCTGTGGCCCGGTGGAGGTCACAGTGTCCTGACTTGATGGCGGTGGGACAAGGAGAGCAAGATGGCCAGGAGACTTCCTGGTTTCAGTGTGTCCTATGTGAGGGGCCCAGACAGGGGGGAGAGGGTGGTCCAAAGCTCAGGAGGTGACTAGCTGGAGTTGGAGGCTGGAGGGGGAGCTTTAAGAGGAGAATAGACCCCAGGAGTAGAAGAACTGAGGCTGCAGAGGCCAGGACTGAGGCCCACCAGGTGGCCCTGGCTAGCTCCTCCACATGTCTGTGCCTGTGTCCCACACAGAGGGATGTTTCTGCTGCCTCCTCCTTAGAGCTGGCCAGGGATTCAGTTAGATTGATCCTTCTAAGATCTTGAGTGCCATGGAGGCCAATAGCGATTTTATTAACTTTTCATTCACAAAGAGGGTCAGGAGAGAACAGTGTGTCCAAGGCCAAGGGAACATTTTGAGGTATTGGCCAGGCGGCTGATGACCAAGGTCAACACAGTGCAGAGGGGGTGGGGGCTGGAGGAGAATGGCCTTGGGCAGTGAGGCTGCAGGGATGGGGTGGGGGCCTATTGGAGGAGGAGGAGGAGAAGGAGGAGGAGGAGGGGCTGTGGTTTAGGAAGATTCCAGGCCAAGGAGACTGAGAGCATTCCTAGCCCCAGGGGTGGCGGCAGGGCAGAGGGACCTGAGGGGCCTAGAGCCAGCCAGGGTGGAGGGGTGTTGAGGTGGGTTCCCCAAGTGAGGATGAGGAGACTGAGATGAATGCCCAGGTCAGAGCAGGGACAGGGCGAGGCTGGCCATCCTGGATGAGGCTTGGGACTCCCAGGATGAGGGACTGTCTTGGTCCTGGTGAGGCTGGGGTAAAGGTCAAGTAGTGATGAATGATCGGGGTCCAGAGGATGACCACTGGTTATCAAAGAAAGGCCAAGGGGAGGCTGAGAGCTAGCCTCCTGCTCCCCTCCTTCCTACCCTAGACTCCAACATGGAGAAGACAGTAATTAAAAGGGGGGTCCTGGTCTATAAGAGATAAGGCTACCCCTCCCACAGACACCCAGCTCTGGCCTCTTCTCCTTGGAGACATCTCTGTCCCTTTCTCAAATCAGCTTGCTTTCTACACTTGCCGTGGTGTTTCTCAGTGTTTATTCTTAAACATAGGAAACAAGGACCCTTCCTGATCTGCGATGGGAGGGCATCACTGGGCAGAGAGGCAGGCAGCCAGCCGCTCACTCCCCTTGAGGATGGCTGGCCAGTTTGGCCCTCTTCTGAAGGAGAGTTCCAGAGAGGACCTCTAGGGCCCAGAGGACAGGAGCTCTGCTGGAGAGGGTGTGTCCCCTGGGCTCCCGACAGGCATCACCCGCCTTGAGACAGCCAGGGCTCAGCTTCAGGCTCAGCATGTTCCTCGGAGCCCAGGCCTGGCTTGGATGCTCTCACTTAGGTCCTGTCCTATTACTCTTGCAAGGCTGGGGGGACAGGTCATGCCACCGGTGACACAGTGCCCACTCCCTGGCTGTGCACCTTGGGCCAGGTCCTTAACTTTGCTGAGCCTCCTCTGTCAAGTGGAGAGTAGAACAGGGCCAGGGAGGGTGGAGCGGGAGACTGGATCTGCGCCTTGGTTTCTGGCTCCTTCTTTCCTCTCCGTCCCTTTTTTCATGGGCCTTCCCCAGGGGCGTCTCTAGACTCCTGCTGCCCTCCCAGGTGGCTTCAAGGGAGGGAGACACTTTTGAAACCCCTCCAAGGTGGCCTCTGGGTGGGGTCTCCCAGGGTGCCAGGATGAGCGTGTACCCCCTGAGGAAGGCCACAGCAGTGACAGGACCTGTCTCTTCTTTGCAGAAAACACACCATTTCCTTTACTGCTCGGACTCTGGCTGGGCCGTGGGGGCTGAGGACTCTGACTTTGAGGGCTGGGCCTTCCCATTTCCAGGGGTGACCCTGATCGAGGACTTCGTGACCAGGGAGGAAGAAGCCGAGATGGTGCGTCTGATGGATCGTGACCCCTGGAAGCTTTCTCAGTCGGGGCGGAGGAAGCAGGTACGATGCCCCAAGCTGTGCTGAGGGCTGGCCTAGGCCACGGGACAGTCATGCTGCTGGGGACCCGTAGCTCACCTCTTCTGCAGCCACGCCTGACAGACCCCTGGGTGGGGCATGGGCAGCCAGTGCCACCAAGGAGGGTGCATCCAGCATCTGGGCCTGCTCAGTCTCCCCGCCAGGCTTGCCATGCCCCTCTGCACAGTGGGCTCTGGGGTAGGATGTCGCAGGCGAGTTCTGGACAGCAATCCTCGCCTTTTGGGGCTGCAGGGGCTGCCAGGCACTGCCCCTCCCATCACATCCCTTATCTTGCACATTCTGCTGGCACTCCTGACTTGCCCTAATCAGGACCAGTGTCCCTCCTCATTTTCCTGCTGCTATTCTGCCAGCTTGCTTGTTCCCTCCATCTCCGGCCCTCAGGGCCTGCATCCACCCTCCCACCTCCCTCCTTACTTCCCCTCATCCAGCCTCCATACATAGCTAGTTCTGATGGTTGCTTCCCTGGACACCCTCAACTTTCTTTCCCTCACTGGTGACATCCAGCCAGCTGGAGGATGTGCCCTGCTTAGGCTGCTCCCTGAACCGTGCCCACCTGTTCTGGCTCCCAGGATGCCCAGCCACTCACTGCTGCTCCTCGCCTGCATCGCCGTCCCCTCCGCCCCCATGGAGAGCACTGTCCCCATGCGGATGCTGGTGCTGAGGCCCCTCTCCCGGGCAGAAGCCCTTGCTCCAGTGTCTGGCCTCCTGTGCCCTTTCCACCCGCACTGCAGCCCCTGCCAGCCTGGTCTCCAGCAGGAGTGTGGCGGGTCCCTCTGTCTTCCGTCCCCACCTCCCGTTTCCTCAGGTTTCAGGCCTCTAGGCCTCTTCTGCCTGCAGAGCCAGGCTCTCTGCTCAGGGACAGGCTCTTTGTCCACTTTGGGTCCCAGCAGCCCTTGGTTCCCCACCCCCCCCCCAGGCTGATTCCTCCTCCCTGACCTTGAGGCTGGGGGCCCCACCCGGGTGGCTTTGCTCTTGGTGAGCTTCATGCCCCTGGCCAGGCTGAGGGGGGCCCTCAGGTCTGAGCCCCGAGTCTCGCCCAGGGTCCTCACCTCTGAATCCGTCTCCTCCTGCTCAGGCCAAGGCCTTCGGCCCTGCGGCTTGTGCTGGCTCCTGGCCATCTTGGTGACTCCCGTCAGCCTTGCCTTCAGAATGCGTCCAGCTTCTGAGCCCACGCTGCCCCTGCCACCATCTCCCCACGCCAGCAGGCTGGCCGGCGCCCTGTCCCTGTTTTCAGCGTGCCCTACGTCAGCCCGCCTGGCTTCTGACCCTTCCGTCCCACCCTCAGGACTATGGCCCCAGAGTCAACTTTCGGAAACAGAAGCTGAAGATGGCGGGCTTCTGCGGCCTCCCGAGCTTCAGCCGTGAGGTGGTGCAGAGGATGGGGCTGTACCCCGGGCTGGAGGGCTTCCAGCCCGTCGAGCAGTGCAACCTGGACTACTGCCCCGAGCGGGGCTCCGCCATCGACCCCCACCTGGACGACGCCTGGCTGTGGGGGGAACGGCTGGTGAGCCTCAACCTCCTGTCCCCCACCGTGGTGTCCATGCACCGGGAGGCGCCTGGCAGCCTGCTACTCTGCGCAGCCCCCTCTGCCGAGGCCCTCGGGGACAGCGTGATCGCCCCCAGCAGGTCCGTCCCATGCCAGGAGGTGGAGGTGGCCATCCCCGTGCCCTGCCGGTCCCTGCTGGTGCTCGCTGGGGCCGCACGCCACCAGTGGACACATGCCATCCACCGCAGGCACATTGAGGCCCGCCGCGTCTGCGCCACCTTCAGGGAGCTGTCAGCCGAGTTCAGCCCTGGGGGCGCGCAGCAGGACCTGGGCCGAGAGCTCCTGCAAATGGCACTCTCCTTCCAAGGCAGGCCTGTGTGAGCTGCATCCCGGGACAGGAGCCCGAGCAGGGCCTGGCCAGAGTCCAGCCCCAGCACTGACCACGGCCCGGGACTGAAGTGGGAGCCTGTGTCGGGGCTCCTTTTCTGTGTGTGTGGTGCTGGGGACTGAAACCAGGGGTGGTTTACCACTGAGCTACGGCCAGGCCCTTTTTTTTTTATTTTGAGACACAGTCTTGCTAAGTTGCCAGGGCTGGCCTTGAACTTGGCAGTCTGCCTCAGCCTCCAAGTAGCTGAGATTATTGCTGTGCACTACTGCACCCAACTCCCTTCACTAAGGTTTTTTTTGAACTGGAGATGGAACCAGGGGCACTTAACCACTGAGCCACATCCCCAGGCCTCCATATTTATATTTATTTTGAGACAGGGCCTCATTAAGTTGATGAGGCTGGCTTTGAACTTGGAATCCTCCTGCCTCAGCCTCCTGAGTCACTGGGATTACAGGTGTGCACCTCCATGCCTGGCCCTCATTAGGTTTTGAGAGAAGCCATCTGACCTGATCCTGTTGTCATGGGCAGCATGTGCCTTAGGTCCTGCCCAGCTGCTAGTTGTTTTCTTTGTAGCACTGGGGATGGAACCCAGGGCCTGGCACGTGCTAGGCAAGCACTCTACCATTGAGCCACAGCCTTTTTTAATATTGAGATAACCTCTAAGTTACCCAGTTCCTCCTACCTCAGCCTCTAGCATATGGGGAGCTGCTTTTGATGGGACAGAGCCTGAGGTCTCTCCTTGTGCCTGCACTGTGGCGACCGTTTGGGTTGACTTGTCAACAGTTTGGTGTAAAATGTTTTCTTATCTGTTCCTCTGAATGAATTTTCCAGACACCCTGCCATCTAGCCCTTCTGTTGGGGGCATGTTGGACTGGAGAGTCACTGGTGGTAGATCTGAAGTTCAGAAGGTGGCAGCAACTTCTGAGTTGGGCCCAGCTTGGGTCATGCTGACCCCCTGGGGTGGGGGCTTGGGCAGGGACATCTGAGAGCCTGGCCCCTCTCACATCCTCACATTGGGATTTAAAAGGTAGGGGCCCTCACCCCCCGGGATGCCTCGAGGTTGTGCCCTTGGTGGCGTGCACTGTGTGGGTCCCCACCTGCCTAGGGCAGCTGCCCCATTCGCCTATGACTGAGGGGGTGGCGGTGTTCCCACACCCATATGGCAGCCCCCTCCCTCGTCTTGGCTTATGGCTATGTGATGGGAGCCACCCTAGAGGAACAGGGACACATCACCTCCCAGGAAAGGGGACCCGCACTGCTCTCCAGGGTCATCCAGAACAGCTGAGTTGGCAGGTGCTGTCTGTGAAGCAGTGTCCAGCTGCTGAGCTGCTGCCAAACCAGGGGAACCCTGCAGAGACAGAGGAGGCTTCCCAGTGCCCAGCACCTGGAGTTGGCTCCTGGCCCCCATGGCTGCCACCCCTGTCCACTCACAGAGCCAGAAGATGGCAGGCGTGTGACTGTCGTCCTGTCGGGGCTCTGCAGAGCCTTTGCCTGGGATGGGCTGTGGCGATAAGGGAGGGCAGTGTGTTTGGGAAATGTGACACTGAGACCTCACAGGGAGAGGCACAGAAGGGCTCAAAGCCCAGCAGCCAGGAGACCCGCCCACTGGCTGGCCCAGTGCTTGCCACGCACTCCACGTGACCCTTCCTGCAGTCCTGCACGAGATGCTTGGGAAAGTCCCATTACGTGACAGTCATGTTGATGACCTGCAGAGTTTAGCCTGTCCCTGGAGCTGCTCCCAAGATGGGCCTTTCCTGTCACCCAGCATGCTGAGGCTGGAGAGCCCAGGCTGTGGGGTGCGCCACGACCCAGCTCCCAGCACCACTGCCCGTGCATTTCTGAAGGGCTGGTCCCCAGCAGCTGCCATCGGGGGTACTGAGGTCCCTTGTCTCTGCACTGGGTGGCCACCTGGGTCTGCTCCCTCCAGCACACTCCCTACAGACCAGGCACATGCCATGCGGACTGGGCTGTCCTAAGGCTCTTGTGGACAGCCTCAGGGGATGTCAGCAGTGCCCTCCCTGGTGGCTCAGCGGGCACCCTCAGCTTGCTGCTGTGCAGAGACCTGAAGGGAGCTTGGTGCAGCTTATGTGGTGAGACCTGGTGGTCCTGCCTCAGGCTGAACTCCGAGCCTCCCGGGGTCTCCCCGCCTTGGTGTGTGTTGAACTGAGCGGCCTCTAGGGTGGCCCACGGCAGCCTACTTGTGGAGAGCAGCACAGGCCGGAAAGAGGACTTGGCACATCCTAAATGGACATGGCAGGGGTCTCTGCGCTCAGCCTTCCCTTGATGCCAGAACCCTCATCCTTCCAGAGGCCTCCGAGTCAGGACAGCTGGGGACGTAGCTCAGTGGTGGAGAAGGAGCCCAGTATGCATCCCAGCACCAGAAAAAACAAAATAAACACCAAGTTGGGGACAGAAGTCTCTCATTGGGTCTGCTGGGTGTTGGGTGGTCCCACTACGCAGGCCTTCTGGGGTTCCCACAGAAGAGGTCCACAGAGCAGGTGGCAGCTTGCCACACGGTAGGGAAGGGTCCCATCTTTCTGAACATTTTGCCTTGAAGGAAATAGTGGCCTTCACTGTCAATGCACACTTGTCCGCTGGAAGGCTCACTTGCTGGCTAGGGCTCGGTGCCGAGCCCAGGGAGCCACCTGGCTCTCTGGTTGGCAGGATGTGGTGCTGCCAGAGAGTCTCCACATGCTGGCACAGGTTGCTGTGCCTGCTTCCAGCAGCTTCCAGGCTGAGGGCTGGAGCATTAATAAGGGACAGGAATCTCTCCTGGAAGGGGACCTCTACCCCAGGGGATAACTGTTCCCAAACAGAATTTCTGGGTGCCTTTCTGTCAGTGCCACTAGGCTAAATGAACCCAGGACCGCAGGGACCCAAGGGACCTGAGCTTCAGTAGTGCCTCTCCTGGAGGAATTGGGGACCTTTAACTGACTGTCCAGAGGGTTCCCTTGGCAGCCAACTACCCAGCTCCTTCCACTGTTTCCAGAAAAAGAGCCCCTTGGGGAAGAAAAGAGCAGAGGCCACTGAGCTGCAGGGTCCTTTGGGGGCTCTAGCTGGCAGAGGTCTCTGTCCCAGCACCCTGCCTATCTATTATAGGGAATTCCATGCCCCTCGGTGGGGCAGCCTGTCAGGAGCCTGGCCAGGGGCCAGCAGAAGGCCGATGGGCTCCAGGACTCCCAGGCCAGGCTGAGAGCCTGGCACAGCAGCCAGGAAAGACCAGGGCGTCCCACCAAGACACAGGGAGGTTGGAGCAGCTTTACTGGTTTATTCCATCCAATCCAGGGTGACCGTTAAAAATCCACGCACAGGACAGTTAGGCCACCTTGCATGATCTGCGCAAGCATCACACATATGTAACCAGTGGCATCAACGCTGGCTGCGGTGAGCCTCCACCCACCTGGCTCACGCAGTCTGTCCTCGACAGACCTTCGGAGAACATACTAATGACACCAGCCTTTGCCCTTCTACACCAGAAACACCCTGCACCTCGCACCGGCCAGGGGCGTGCGGCCCTCACTGCACAGGGCCTGGTGTGCCTGTGGCTCTTGGCTCAGCACCAGGAAGGACGCTAAACAAAACCAGGGCAAGCCTATGCTGGCTCCAGGGTGGCCCCACTGCCTGTCACCAGGCCGAGGCTACACTCTGCAAAATCAGGTTACGCCTCCAGAAACTGAGGTTGTAGCCTGATTGTTCCCCCATCCTCCAGCCTGCCACACTGAGGTTTCTGTGCCACTTCCAATGGTAGGTTATCCCCATCTTGGGATAAGCTCAGGGCAGCCCTGAGGTTCCCCTCCCGCAGGGTCATCTCTCTTCCCTCAGAGGCTGTTCGCCCCAAGTCAGAACAGGCACCGCGAGGACAGCACGGGCACCTGGTGTCTGGGCTGCCAGGCCAGCACTGCCTGTGGACCAGGGTAGCACCTGCCCCACCAGCACTGCAGCAGGCGTAGCCCAGCCTGAGGAGCTGGGTGTCCTGGGGGCAGGGGTACCAGATGGCTCTGGAAAGTGGCATCAGGAGCCTCAAAAGGCTCCAGCCAGAGAAAAAGCCCTCTGGCCCTCCCAGGTCTGGAAGCCGCTCATTCAGAAGGGCCAGCCCGTCTCACCCCTGCCAGGACGTGAGCAGCATCTTGCAGTGATGCCCACACCGTGAGCAGAGCAAACACGAGGGCCTCCTCAGCAGGGCTCCAGGGGAGCAGAGATGCCTGTAGGGGTGGTGGCACCCTCTGCGCAGGGGACACTGTGTTCAGGCTCCCTGGGCAGATTCCCAACGGCCCCTTAGCATCTCAGAACTGTGTGTCAAGGATTCCATTCTCAATAGCATGTCTCTTTTCCAGAGACCTCACCAGGCCCTCCAGGACCCACAGCCCGGCCCAGAGCCCACAGTAAGCTGTTAAGGAAGGTAAACAGAACACGAAGCCAGTGGCCGTTTATGTACAGCACGAGAGACGAGGCGCCCCTCTCCAGGCTGCTGCTGGAAAGGGGGTAAACATGGTTTCAGAGCAGCTCAGGTGCTGTGCATGCCACGGGAGCTCATGCAGTAGCACTGACGAGCACGCCATCCCAGGCGTGGGCAGGGTCTACCAGATGCCTTGGTGACGCCAGCCCCACACTGCACCGTGTGTAAACAGGGAAGGAATCTGTGTCCCCAAGGCCTGGCGGGCCCAGCAGGGGTGCACTGGGGCCCTTGCCGTCCCTGTGGCTGCTCAGTGTCCTAACAAGGAGGCCACACTGGGTTGCTACAGGCCCAGCAGGGTCAGTGGCCATGCTGACACCCCAGGCTATCTCCTCTCAGCACTCGGGGCCACAGGAGGCCAGGATGGCTCCGGTGCCCAGCCTGCTGCTAATGCAGCCCAAAGCAGCGGCTCATTCTGGCTCAGGCCTCTTGTGGTCAAGAGGTAGAGCCTCCGGACAGGTAGGGGCCTTTTCCCCTTCTGGTGGCCTCAGTGAATCAGTGTGGCCAGGCTCCAGGCTGCTGGCAAAGACCGCCTGAGCCTGGCATGCCTTGGAGCCCCCAGTGAACTCAGCTTCTTAGCAGGGCATCATGCAGGATGCCCACAGACACTGACCTACCCTAGGAACGGGGCCTGGGCCTGGGAAGTCTCCCGTAGGCCCTGCAGCCTCACCCCAGCAGCACCCACGCCTGCGGGGCCGACGTGTGCTCCAGGCTCCCACTTCCTGCCCCCGCCAGGCCGCCCCACTCCTTCCTGGGCCAGGAGGGAAGCACCAAGCCAAGCCGAATGCTGTGCCCTTCAGTGGCCCAGCCCTGTCCAACCGCAGGGAGCCATGCACTGGCAGGTGGCCATGAGTTCTGCCTCTGAACCCACGACCCTGGCCCTGCCGGCCACAGGTTCTGGTCTCTGAGACTCTCTGCTCACTGTGCTGCACAGAGCCCATGAGGGGACACGTGGGCTTCCTCTGCCCACAGCTCTTGGCAACCCAGCCTCCCACGTCACTGCAGTGCCATGTTCTGAGGGGCCAGCCCCGGCTTCTGGGTTATTTTGGCATCGAGACAAGAGTAAGACTTTGGTCGGGGCCTGCCTGGCCGCGTCCAGCAGCCTGGCGAGCATCTGCATTTCTGGAAGCCCTGCTGCGGCCGTTCTGGTACAGCGGGTGGTGCCATCCCAGGCGACTGCGCGGCCCTCACACCACCTGCAGGCTGCGCTCGTGCCCGTCCAGTTGCACCTTGAGCTTGTGAAGCTCCTCGATCTCCCGGTTGTGGCGCTCTGTCTTGTGGCGCACCAGTGAGCGGTAGAAGTGGATGGTGAAGACCACGAAGATGAGGCCCACGGGCACCATGATGATGGTGGACACCAGCGCAGCCTGCCAGCCTGTGTGGCCCC